TGCATCCTATGATACATACATAGGAAGCGTACCTTACCATAGGTACGTAGGAATGGTATGATCCTTCATTCTTTTCTTCGGAGCTTCGTATCGTACGTAACGATTCATCGGTACGTTGCATGTCCCTCTATCAATAGTTGTAGTACTACAGTGGTKGTGGTGTCATGAGAGAGGGACAATTTTCTAGTATTAGTAAACAATGTATTCAGTCTTAAATTTGGCAGGCCTTCTTGTTTTCTGCTGAGTCATTCGATGGATTGTCATTCTTGGATTCCAGACTAGATTCAGATTGCCTGTTGAGGGTGAATTGACACGTGCTAGTAGTACTAGTAGTAAGTAATCATTTTTTTGTCTGGTGGAGGATTATCCTGTCTGGGCCCTCTGGTACTGCACCCACAAGTGGTGCATCCCCCTTTTGGAATTTCTCCTCCCCTAAAAGTATGGGTTATTTTTGATGAAGAATAACCCACGTTTTAGAATTGTGGGTTATTTCATGGGTTCATATAACCCAAATTTTAAAATTGTGGGTTATTTCATGGGAAAAACAACCTTCAAAACACAGGTTAGCTATTTCATTGGAAGAATAACCCACAAAATCATGCCCCCAAATGTTTGATTTCAAAAGGGGGATGCGCGTCCGTGCGTTCAGTCAAGAGGATGACCCAATAAAGCAATTCAACCCATGAACATCGAGTAAATTTCCAAATTTATCATCGACAAAACTCGAACCATTTGATGTACTGTACATCGTACTTTGTACTTGTTGTTTCTATCTAACTTACGAGTACCGTATGGCGAGACAAGACACCAGATACAGTAATTTTCGTTCCCTTCGGTTGGGTCAACGCAGTCCATCTTTCTTCACAGAGAACGATGAATGAGAGGAAATTCATGCCATTGCACAGAGATGACTTGACCAAAAGAACCAATTGCAATAAATGCTGTATTCTCTGACAACACCATATCCAATCGCAATAAGTTGATTGACACAACGATCTATCTACAATAAGTAAATGAGAATCAGTTTAGGTCATTATCTGCTTATTGTTCTTCATCTCGTGATATCGGGGAGCCGCGACTATCACACTATTTTATTGATACTGATATTATCAATTACTATTTCTACAGGTTTCTTTCGTGCGTACTTAAGAGCCACTTGGGTTTTGCTTAGGGGGATTTTGGGCTTAGTACTATGATGCATAATGACTATTTTCGCTTGGATTGTTTCTTGCTGCGTTGGTACAGTACGAGGCACTACTTCCACGAATCTAGGTGTCGTTATTAGCGGTTTGTTCCATCGAGTTCTTACCCGTAGTAGCGCTTGGGTCGGGTATAAGCCCTATATGAGCGCTTTGTTTCTGTACCATTGTATTAGCGCTCTCTTTTTTGAATCCTCCTACCCGTTCTCTTGCACTTCTACGCGTAACGTACGCTTGTTGCCCCGTGCCGGCGACCTCCGTCCTTACTCCACACTCGCTGTAACACTCTCTGTTTCGCACCTGTTTTCCCGGCCGGTTGCTGTCGCGAAAGAAAACAAGCAAAGCTAGGAAAGTGACACACGACACACGATAAACAATAGTCCGCCTTTCGGATCGACAATGAATTTCTCCAAACTAAGCCTTGTTTGCCTCGCCCTCGATTCTGGATCGCGGTTTGTGCAAGTGCAGGGGGTAGCAAACAAGAACCCGGTCGGCAAATGGGAGCTCCATTCACTCTCTGATGCTGAGATAGAGGTCTCTGACTCGGATACCCCAAACACTGCTGCCGTGGAAACAGAAATATTTTATGAAGGGCTCTTCGCAGACGGGCAAGATCCAATCGTGGAAATCTATGCAGGAGTGGAAACCGGCGCTCCATGTGTCACCGGAACCCCTGCAACCCCCTTGGGGGAGACTACGCCATCACTTTCCGTCTCTTTTTCTACTGCGGACACGAACGACCATCCAGATTTGGTCGAGAATATGGTCACGTCCAACGGAGATATTGGTACGCTTGCAACAATCCAGTATGCTACTGTTTCTGTTGGTTTCGAACGCAGTTGGATTGTCGAAGTGCTTCGTGTTAGTGTTAGTGACAGTTAGTGTTAGTGTTAGTACGTACTTGCGAGTCATCTCACGCTTTCTCTGTGCTTGTTCCCCACCCATCGGCCCACCCATCGCTGTTCTGTAGGATCTGTTCATATTCATCAGACGCTCACTGGCGAAGACAACCCCTTCTGGACACCGTACAAGGACGACAGACCCGATGTCGGGACGTTTAGAATGTGTGAGTGTGAGACATTAAACACTCCACAACTGTACCGTACCCGTGTCGTCTTTTGATACTGTATTGTTCGTTCTGTTTGTCGTTCACATTCGCCACTAGCTATCGTTTTGTTCGGGGTCCCAACACTCACCTTGTTCTCTTTTTGCTTTTAGGTGTACGAGTATGCAAGAAACTCGAGACACGATATATCTCCTATGTTGATTCACTGATTACCGTCAGGTACGATCATGAAGGAGTGTTCCAGAGTTTCGCCGCCTCCATCGATGTGGAAGAAATTAGTTCGACCAATGAGTATGTCCGAGATGAATTCAACTCAGTCCCTGTGGAAGCCTTTCCGTGCTTCACTACTGGTTCTCCCATCCAAGAGACATACAAACCTGGTCAGAGATTTTCCATCTGTGTTCGCCCTGGAGAGGACGACCTTCAAAATGGTTTCGGTGTTTCCGGCTTCCAAGAGGTTACGTGTGCGAAAGAGTCTCAAATAGTGAAGGAAGGATCGTATGTTGCGGCAATAACAAGCGTCAGCTCCGACACCGACGCCGTTGACTTTCTTGACAAAGAGGAGGTTGCCGTAGGGCCGGGCACCGCGGTTCTCACGACCACGGTCTTGCCCACCATGGTGTCTGGATCTGGTTCGATGACGTGCACTGGCGTAGTAGAGCTGACCTTCACAGCGCCAGGATCTAGAGATCTTTCTCCCGTGGGACGTCGTCTCCAAGCAACCGATGCCGGGGTCGGCGAATCCACGCCGTTTTCGGTCTCCATCAAAGTGTCGGAAGAAAAAGACTGGTCCGATGCTTTCGCCTCTCCCGCCGCGGGAAACTTCGAAGGGTCCGACGGGCTCGTTGTTGCCGGAGCCGCAACCACCGCCGCGGTGGTCATGGCGGCTGCTCTCTAGCGAGAGCGCCTTTGATCCGATTCGATCCGATCCGAGCGCTGGCTCGTGCCCAGCACCGCCATTCAAGAGAGAGAGATGTGACAGATATCGCAAAAACGTATTTGTCAATCCATCCATGTGCATGTGCATGTGCATATTATGCACATGCGCATTCATTATCACCGTTCCGCCCGTAGCGGCGCTCAACGAAAAGAAAGAAAAAGCCCAAAAAAAGTAGCAGTATTTTATTTTAATTCATAAGTGAATTTAGGATTACAGTACTGTACCGTACGGTATGAGTACTTGTACTTGGTACGGCACGGTATGTGAAGATGAATCAAAACATCACAAACACAAAACACACACACCAGTGCCATAAGTAGGAGTTGTAGTGCGTACTCCACCTCTTGTGTGACGAAACAGAGTGCACGTTCTGTTCATCGAGTTTCTTCCAATTTCCATTTCTGCTCTTTTCCTGTACGGCAAGCGAAGTCGTGCTCGTGGTCGTAGTCGTGGTCGTAATTGCTAACAGTACTCGTCTCGACGCATGGAGCGGGAAGCAAGGACAAAGTGTAAGCACCACCGGCAGCACAAGCCCCAGAGAAAGCTCGCAGACGCCCTCCGGTGTGCCGGCTTCGATATCTTCCACGGGCCCTTCTCCCCGAAAAAGTACAACGATCTCCTCGAGTGCGAGGGTCTGGAAGGTCTCTCGAGACTGCCGGAGGAGCGAAGGTGCACGGGCAGCAGCGGAAGCAACAGCAGCGGAAGCAACAGCGACTACGAGGCCTACCTGATTGGGAACACTAAACACCTTTGGCCCGTGTTTCTGGATTGGCTGCAGCTGCGGCGTCAATCAGCAGCAAGCACTGCCACTGCCACCGCCACTACCACCGCCAGCAGCATCGAAGCACATCCCCTCGACACCTACGAACGAACCGCGATCGAAAGGGTCGTCCGGGAAAGCCTCGGCCCGGACGAAGAGAAAGGCAAAGGCAAAGACGCCAACTGCAACACTAACTGCGACACGAACGCCTGCCGCTGCTACGAGCTTTTCTTCTCGTCCGACCTAGGGACCGGCCTGGTGTCCATGGCGAGGGTGGCCTCCTGCAGCGGCTTCTCCTACCTGGATCCCCACACGCACCTCAGCATCCACCCCCGCTACGGAACCTGGCATTCCTACCGGGCGGTGCTCCTGCTGGCTTCGGAAGGCCTTCCGCCGGGGCTTTTCGAAACCGGGACCAAGACGGAGACACCGATCCTGACACCGATCCAGAACCCCCTTTCTCCTATCGACGCGCGGAAATCGAGAAAGGCCTTTGACCGGGCCCTAGCGATCACCACGGGCACCACAACGGACGAGCTAATGGACGAGGCCATGGAAGAGCTGTGCGAGATGCTCGGAGCCGGTTTGTACAGGGACGTACGCGACGAACGCCAGGAGGAAAACGACAACGACAACAACAACAAAACCAAGTCCAAAAACGAAACCGTCGCGGCGGCGTGGATTGCGCTGCGGGACTCCATATCGATCGGCCGGGAGGACTACCGCTTCGGAACAAACCAATTGCTCTACCACTACACCAAGGATCCGAGGCACCTGCTGCCGTGACGGTGGTGCGATGCCACGTCTCGTTTCGTTTCGTTTCGTGTCACTTCAAATCACTTAACTTAACTTAACTTGATCTAATAGAACAGAATAGAATACAATAGAATGGGGCAAAACGAGATCGATTCGATTCGATTCGATTCTTTCTGACTCCACGCATGGGGCCTCCTCTGGATGGCATAGCTTCGGGTCTCCTTTCTCGGAAAGCTTCCCACTACCGTGCACGCGGTGCGGCATCGAATGCTCCATCGAGTGCTCCATCGAGTGCTCCGGGTGGTTTGCGTCGATGCCGCTACCAATCCAGGTCGTCGCCGCCGTCCTCCAGCTCTTGCTTCCGGGCCTGCTTCTTTCGTTCCTGTTTAGCGGCGAGCCGTGACTTGTTCCTGGACCTCGATTTTCGCTTTTTTTGCCGCAGCTTCTGCTGCTTCCGCTCCGCCTTGGAAAGAACTGCACATCGAGCTTCTCGAGGAGCCGCTTCCGGCCGATCTTCCGGTTCTGGGACAGGGACCTCGTCTCCTGGCACTCGACCCTGATCCCCGTCGGGAGGTGGACCAGCAACACGCGGTTGCTCGTCTTGTTGATCTTTTGGCCACCGGCGCCGGACCCCCGCACAAAGCTTTCCTCGAGGTCCTCCTCCCGGAGCAGGAGCCTCGGGTTCTGGTTGCGCCGATCCTGCTTTTTTGCCTTTTCCTTTGCGGACAATCGGTTGCTGCTGCTGCTGTTGTTGCGAACGGATGTTTTGGTCGCCTTTCCCTCCAGCTTGTCCATGGTTGCGGCGGTTTTCCTCAGGACCATCTCGCGGAAAAGACTTGCCTCATTCCTCGGCCCGGTATCACCGGAATCCTCCCCGAGAGAAGACCAACACGAGGAGGCAATCCACTCCGACAATTCGTCAAAGAGAGAAACCATCATCCCGACCCCAGTGCTTTTCCCATCGGTGGTGCCCACGTTGGAGTTCTCCTCATCTCTGCCTGTTTCTTCCTCTGCCCGTTGTCGAAACAATTCATAGACGCCGTGCACATAGGAATCCACTCGTTGCTGCTGCTCCTTTGACAAGGTTATCGTCTCGGACTCGCTGTCTTTGTTCTCAAAAGAAAAAAACCCGTGGTTCTTCCAAACGTCGGCATTGCTTCCTGTGACGGCATTCGTTCCGCCAAGAATGTCCTCGGTCCGGCGCAGCAGCTCGTTCCTTTGGAGCTCGGATCCCAGAAGATCCACCCAGCGTGTCTTCCAGGCTCGTCGGAGGGCAGCCTGCTCTTCCAGTTGCTTGTCCCGGAATTCCTTCCATTCCCCGTAACTTTCTACGATTTGAACAATACCGGGGGGTCCGAAAAAGACGTCGTGCTTTCGGTTATAGCGACGATCCCAGACCACCCGATCTTTGTAGGCGATGGCGACGATGCGGTGTTCCGGAAGCGCCTTGACGAGAGACGTCTCCGCCGAATTGATGCCCTCGTTTGGGGCCGTGAGGGGGGACGTCACCACCGTGTTGTCGACACGATCGTAGTGCAACACGAAGAAGTCGTTGGCGTCGAGTTGATAATCCCATTCGATCCGCCTCAGGACCTCGGAGGACGGGACCAGCTTTTGGGTTCGTTTGGGGGAGGAGTTTTCGGCGGTTTTCGCACCGGCATTTTGGTTTTCCGCGGTGGAGGTCGACTTTTTCACAAAGAGACGCTGGTAGGCAGGAGAATCGACGTCCCGCAGTTTTTCGATGCGGCGCTCGACCCCACGGACTCCCCTTCCGAGAACGACCGCCAGCTCGCTCGCTTCTATCGGTTCCTTTTTCGTTGCTCGTTGCATATAGGACCACAGCAGCTCGTCTTGCTCCAGCGTCCATTCGCGGTATAGATTTTCGGGCCACGCGGTGGGGGTGTAGTAGAGTCGGGTCGTGGAACCATGCCCTGCAGATGCAGAGACCGGCTGAAAACTTTGGGTCTTTCTCAAAGAAGAGACGTTCGGAAAAGAAAGGGATCTCCCGGAATTCCGCATTCGTTGCACGATTCCACTCTGCTGGCGATGGGCAAGAAAAGAAAATGATCGAACGCCTTGAAGGCCATGTCGAGCGAAAGCGACAAATAGCATCAGGACAAAGCTGTTGTTGCGGATATCACCAAAATGGCATGCTTTCATGATAGGTTGTTGCCAATATCTTTCTCCGTTTCGCTTTTACACACAGACACACACACACACTCTCTCTCTCTCTCTCTCTCTCTCTCTCTCTCTCCCACTCTCTCTTCCTGTCAAACACTCTAGATAGCACCAATGTGTAAACAACTCTGAGTTGGGATTAGGATTTTGTGGTGTTGTCTCTCGTTTCGTCCTTAAGTTTTTTGCCTTTAGATGCGTCAGTCAAGTCACGGGGTGAAGGATTTGGATTCGATTACATGGATCTAAAATGCTCACTGTGCGTTTACTACGTACCTTACATGCGGCACGTAAGTACGATATCGTACAGATCCTGTCGACAGAAATCGCTAATACAAGTACCAGTACTTGTAGTAGTAATAGCTTTTTTGAAACGTACTTTATCGTACCTACCGTACCATAGACTGCTACGGTCAGGGGTCAGGGGTCATAATTTCAGACCCCCATCGACGGTGTAGTTCGTACCGTACTGTATTACGAAACTGAGAACATTCCCGTTAGCACATCGGTCACCGTTTGTTTTCGGGAATGAAACGATGTTGACGGTAGATTCCATGATTTGATTTGATGGCTCTCAAATTTTCTGTTGATTTCGACTATCTCGATCCAAACCGTATCAGTAAGAACGGCGCTTACCCAAATTCAAGTAGGGCTTATATGGTTGGCGACAACAGTTGAACCGTTGCACTTGGTTACTTACGAGATAGAAGATGCGTTAACGGCGGACTAATCTTCTGCTTCACAATTTGACACATCTTGTTTGAACCAACTGCATAGTACCAACCGAAAATGATTGATAGACTAAAACAAATACCTTATTCGTACTATCGCCCATCCTGCCCATGCAGATTTGGTAAATTTCAAAAGAATGATCATGCGAAAAAACGAGTAACGGTACATACCAATCGTCCTCAATTTTATTCATTTTCACACTAGTAGCAACGAAAACAGAAACGCATGTCAAATAGTTGAATTGTAAGAGAAGATAACACTTGAATAACGACTTTTTAGACTGTTCGATCTCTTCAGTCAACAATGAAAATTGCCGCTGCTACTTCGGTACTGTTGGTCGCCCATGCACAACGGACTGAAGCTAGCGGCAGAGTTGCTGAAACCGACAAAGTGCAGACAGCAACAACTAGAGAAGCAGTAGAGCCATCGGGACTCTTACGAAGCAGCGCGAGGGCAACACTTCGCGGCAGGCACAACGAGAACGTTTTAGGCGAATACAAATCAAAAAGCGAGCGAAGAAATCTGGAAAGGAACAAGACGGCTCTCAACAAACTCCTCGGCAATCTCGAGGAACTCAAAAACAGAAGAAAGACGTTGCAACGAACAAGTAAGAACTACGAGGAAGAGATCGCTGTACCGACTAGTCACGAAGATCAGCAGCTTGTAGATCTCGGGATATTAGGAAAAGGGCGTCTTTTAGAAAGCTCGGAACGCACCGACAAGGAATCAATCTTTGATCAAAACTCCGTGCGAGACCCAAGCGTTGCAACAACTGCTGACGAAGAGACGAAAGATCAGGGCACTTCTACTTCTGCTCCCATTGACGTTTTCGACGGAGCCGCCGAGGAGAACGACTTTTTTCTAGCGAATGCACACTATCTTTGCGAATATGAAAATTGTAACTGCGGTAGTTTCTCTTTTGAATCAATGCAAGGAATCATCCAGTGCTCTTCGGAAGTGGTTGCAACCGGTGGGTATTGCGCCACAACCATGAATTACTGCGGGGAACCAGTAGATGTATGCTACCGCGAAACCTCCTCACTGGAAGCTGTTGGACCCCAAGATTACACGTACACCGTATGCTCGACGTTCTCAAAACCCTACCAGCAGCACATTTGCGTCACCTTTGATGCCTCTGCCGAGGATGACAACAATATCAACACGAGGTCTGAGGTGTTGTCCGACAACAACGGAATTTCCGAGGTGGTCAATTACTCCCAGTCCTCAGCTCCCTGCAAGGTTGAGTTCAACAACGAGCGGTGCAGTTCCTGTTCTACGGAGCTTCGCACTTACGAACGCATATTCGTGGACCAGAGCATTGGGGACCGCCACGTCCTTTCGTCGTACCAGCGCCGGTGCTTCCAGGTAGATTGTAGCAACGCCGCCGCACAAGATCACGTTTTCAATACCTGCGATACGAACGATCTATCAACCCTACGAGAGAACGTGGTCTTCGGAGACGATTGCACGAGATGCCCACCCTGCGGAATGGGATTCCACATGACAGCGGGAACCGCGATGGGATCCTTTCCGGTCATTGGCGACTACCAGTGTTCCGGGTTAGAACTTGGCGCCATTACTGGATTTTTTAGTCGCGATGTCTGCGGAGACATTCAATCCAAGGCGAAGGAATATTGTGGCTGCGAGCCCAACTTCTACGATCCGAACCTGGTGCTTCCAGAGCTGCTCACAGAAGACATCGAAGCGGAAAAATCCAGAGCCATCGGGGGGGATGGGGATGAACTCGAGATCAGCAATCCTGATAACATGTTCGTGCTGCCTGGAGACACGATCGGTGCCGAATCCTGCCATCTTTGTGGGGCCAACTCCGCGAAGATTGCCAATCCCTACAACCTKGTCTATCTACCGAACGGAAAGCAAACAACGTGTGCCGCCCTGGAGGGAGCTGGAAGACTGGGGATGATGACAGTGGATTACTGCAAGTTCATCGCGATGCCACTTGCCTTTGCAGAGTGTGGCGGGTGCTTGACGTGGGGGAAGGGGGAAGAGGACGAAGAAGTCGATGCTGGGCACGCAGGGCCTTGGACCACCAGCGACGAAATTCTGAGACTGAACGGTAACCCAGTCAATGAAACCACCAGCCCTATTCCTCGTTTGTACCGGGAGAATCCACAGGAACTTAACGTGACTTCTCCATTGAACGCGACGTCTCCTCCAAAAACTTCTTCTCCGACGGCCTCTCCTCCGAAAGCCGTGTCTGCCCTGTCGACGGACGAAGAATCTTCGGCACCCATTGGATCGACTATGCTTTCGTGTTTCACGATGGTTCCCATTTCATTACTAGTGTACTTTTCATAACAACAGAATGGATCTGTTTTAGATACCATTCACAATGCAGTAAATGGCATAACAATAAATACATCATAATTCTTTTACAGAAGATTGCGATTCAGTGTGAACAGAGAACACTAAAAACCTACTAGTAGAAACTACTTCTACTGTATTATTAAACACCAACGTACGTACGTACGGTGGTACTACAAGTACAAGTACCCGTCTTAGGACAGAGGACAGGCACCGAAACATTTCTAGTCACGTTTTCACCCAGTCCCGAGTACACACGTCCCATCATCGTCGTTATGCCATCCATCACTCTCGAAATGAAAGAATGAATGAAAAATGAAGGCTCATGGAAGGAGTTACGTACGTAGAACTAGAATGAGTACGAGTATTGTACCATACCTTATGACTAGAACGAGTTTTTCTTACATGATGTACAGATGAATTTTGATTTTCGCATCCCTCGTGATCGCTGATGACAGATGACGATGACGATGACGACAATTCATCTATTTCATATAGAATGATTGACAACATGCAACACAAGGTGGCACCGAGAGACCAACCAAACAAAATGTATAGCAAACAACGGAAGCGATGCTGGTGGTGCCGGATTGTATTCGTCGGGATCGGACGAGCCATAAGTTGCGATGCGCTTGTGGTTCCGGGAACGCCGACCTTCCGACCAGAGGACCTAGCTACTTCAAGTACCTTTCCTTACTCAAAAAAATTGCAAGAACGAAAACATGAGCCGCGGCGTGAATCACTACCGTCGCAATCGTATTCCACCGCCCTTCTCGACGCTACAACGTTCTCTTCTCCTACACTGATGGATCCCATTATCGGCCATCCCTCCGTGGAGTTACTAGACCTCGATCGGCGACCTCGCAAAAAACTGAAACCTAGGCACAAGGTACTCTTTGGTTCCCAATGTAGCACTTCCGTTGGAGGCAAATCAACACCGCCATTGCCGGTAGGAGCATTTGCGACAGAAATACCAACACCAACCTCCTCGCCGTTGTTATTCGAAACCCTGGCGGTGATCTGCTGCGAAACAGGGGTCGTTCCCCGCAAGGAATTCTTCGAGACCTACGCCGCCGCCCGCTACATCCACGAGTCATTCCCTCGCGGTGTTCACCGAATAGCCGATCTCGCGGCCGGGCACGGATTGCTTTCGTGGATGCTCCTCGCGATGGACCACTTCCACGAGTGCACGGACAGCGAAAATGGGTCGTTGGTGCTAAAGAGGAGATCCGGCACCAACACCAGTGCTCCGCTTCGGACCGCAATCTGTGTCGATCGGCGAATGCCACCGAGCGCCATTGCGATTGCAAAGGCCATGAGGAACCACCTTTTCCCGATCGATGCGACAACGCAGAAGGCCGGGGACAACCACGAAAAAAACGGAACGGAAAACGGTACCCACGGCGATTCCTTTCTCTACGATCCCACCTGGACCTACGTGGAGTGTGATCTAAAGAACGTGGTAGCGTCTGATTCCTCGACCCTTCTAGTGTCGGTCCACGCGTGCGGAACTCTCACCGACTATCTGATCCAGACCGGGATCGCTTCCCAGCAGGCCCCAATGGCGGTGGTCCCCTGCTGCCACACCTATAGCATCCGCAAGGGGTATACACCGCACCCGGAATTTTCGAAAACGACCGCCGAACGCGTCGGGGAGATCATCGAGGCTCAGCAGCAGAAGGAAGACGAAGACGAAGCAGCAGCGATGATAAAAGCCTCGCCATCGGGCCCCAACCAAGCGAAGAAGAAACAGAAAAACAAATCCATCAATCCGAAATTCCGAATAGTAGAAAACGTCATCGACGATGTCCGGCTGAAGACTCTGGTCAATGCAGGATACAACAGGGTTCGAATTGCGGCCCTACCGCATCGATTTACCGAACGGAACCGCCTCTTTCTGGCCTACCGGACCAATAGCGGAAACTACGAGGAAGATTGCGATTCGTATCCAGAACAACTCAACGGGAGCAATTGTTCATCAATCACCGAAACGGGAGCAGTTCGGGAATCACTGGGCAATAATAACAACAACAAAACCTCTATCCGCAAGGGTTCCATGCCACCCATCACACGAGCGAAAGGGCCCACCATCAAGCTCGGCAGCTACGACATCGATGGCGACGGCGACGACGACGACTTGGTAGTACCCCTAAGGGACGATCCCCAGAGCATCGAGGACTGCCTGGCAGTATCGGGAAAGGCCAGGGCTTTGCAGCGGTTGCGTAAACTGCTTCCGAACCACTTCGCGCCAAAGCTCGACGTTTCGATTTGGTTGACGCCGGCCCCGATGTATTCGACGGAACCGGCTTCGGATAACATTTTGACAGATGAGGTGTCCACGGCGAATGCCACTGCTATACTGGAGGCCTTGCAGGGAGTTCTGGATGAGACCGTCCTTGTGTATCGCGAAAGAAACAGAATCACCGACAAAGAAAATACGAAAAAGATTGAGCATCCCGATGTTGCCTATTCGTGCACTATCCGTCCGATCAATGAGCTCTTTGTCCATCCCATAACGGGGCGGACGGCGGGAACATACCAGATCGAGTATTCGTACACCTCCGGTGAGGAATCTCCGTTCCCGAAGAAGAAGGCGAAGGAGTTGCACAAAATGTTTTGCGAAAACGTGGTATCGGCAATCAACGGAACCGAGATACGATAGAGGAGAAAGAGAAGTGGCAGCGAAAGAATGCAACAAGGAAGACTCTAGCGCATCTCAATAGAGCCATTTGGTAGCTAGCTATCATATTAGAAATAGCATGCATGCGTGGCACTCACTCCCATGGTTCATTTTGCTTCTTTCTAGACTGCGATGGGAGGGGGGTATCACTTACCGTCATTTACTTTAGAGTCAAGATCACTCTAATAGAGTGAACTGTGGGTGTCAACCACACTCAATTATGGAATGAAACGTTATGAAATACCAAGAGCTTGGAGAATTTCTGACGAAATAGATCAAACTGTAGCTGGGAATAAGGACAGCGAGAAAATACAGAAAGATAGATACTACTAGCAGGTGTCAAAACATAACTTCATAATTAAGCTAGTGAACCTGAAGAAGAGGCGGTACTAGGAAAGACACCAGAGCAATTTCTCGAGAAATAATAATGTTTCGAGCTGCCTGGGGGGACGCGGGTCAAGGATGGCGATAGTGGTGGTAGATTTCGTTAGTAATACTAGTAGTAGTATAATCACACTACAAGTATTAGTAGTATACTGGTAGTAGTACGGTACTTGTAGCAAGGCTAGTGATCTCAGTCTTTGCTTACTACACACTCCTAATACTCGACAAAAAATCTTGTGCTAGTAGTGTACTTTACTAAAATACTAGTAGTTGTGGGTGTATACATATTTTTTGTTTTGTTTTGTTTTACTGCGGATCGCAGGGCCGGGCAGCCATACTTTCATTCTAGTTAGCCCTAATAGTGATAGGAATATCTGGGTGTGGTACCGGACTATCGCACGTCTGTGGAAACCGAACCAACCGAACATCGCCGAGGTTGTGTGTTGTGCCTCCGTCCTCATTTCTTGACGATCCATTTGCCTTCTTTGACGATGAGAGCCAGGGTTGTCTTTGTTGCAACGTCTTTCTGCCAATTTCCTGGGTACAAGACTTTGACCCCCCAGGTAGAATTGCACTTGATTGTAAGCGACGAACCCGAAAGGATACCGTTTGCCTTGGGCAAATACAACTCTCTGATCCAAGATCCATCGTACGTATGCAGTTCGACGTCTTTGTAATCTTTCGGGTTGAAAAGATGAAGCAAATTGTCGTTCTTGGGAGGACCCCCAACCTTGTTGGTCTTCAAAAAGGTCTTGGCGACAGTGTTCATCGAACGGATATCGGGCCAGCCTTGCCACCATTTGTTGAAGCCCGCTTTCATTCCTCCGCCCTGGTTCTGTCCCCCGCAGCTATGGGGGTCTTCGGAGACCTTGCCACCAGAAACATCAACGACCATGCGGGAGGGGCGGCTCGCGCCGTGGCCGAATTTCGTCATGAGAAAGTTTTTGCAGGCTTCGAGATCGGCGTTGTGGTACACGACGCGTTTGTTGGCAACCACCACAAAGTACTTGCCACCGGTGCCCTTGAAGCGATCTAAATTTTGCTGTCCCTTGACAACGAACGGACCTTTTTCGTCCGCCCACTCCTGAATGGTCCAAACACCGTCGATGACAACGACGACTAGCCTTTGCTTTGTAGCAACTACTTTGCTACCAACGCCTTTCAGATTGCCGATCTTGACGTTCCAGGTCGAATTGCATCTGACGGTCAGTTTCGATCCCTCGGGGCACCCAGATGGCAAAAAAATATCCGAGATCCAGCCCCCGTCCACTAGTATTGCTTCGGCTTCGGTGTATCCCTCGGTCTTGAAGATATTGGCCAAGTTGTCGTTATTTCCTTCGCTCCCTTTGATGGAATCTAGGTTTTCTTGACCCTGGATGATGCGGGGACCCGTTGGTGCCACCGGTGGGGGAGCGGGGGCTTCGTCCGGTGTTTCCTCGTCGGGTGGCTGGTCGTCGCTGCCGCCGCCGGTCAAAAGGCCGGTGGTTTCGGTCGCGGGACCGGAGTCTCCATTCTGCGGCTCGTCTTCGCCGTTGGCATCGCCAAGGTTATGGCCGCCGTCGTCCCTCGATCTGTAAATATGCTTGGGCGCATCGATCTCGATGATGAAAGGGTCTTCGTTTTCGGCTCGAACGTATGCAAAGTAGAACGGAAGGATAGCATTGAAGGTCATCCAGATTAAATCGATGATCTGGCCCAGGACTTTCCCGGTAAACGGGACCGGAATAAGATACCAGCTTATGTCCCCACCCAAAACAAATAAGAGCGTGCCATAGATCTTTACCACACTGATCGCAACGGTGCAGATGAGATAGATTTTCGTGACGAATGCGACGACTGGTGCGGAGAGGCTGATTTTTGGTATGCACGGAAGAAGGGTGACCCTCGTGTATTCTTGACCCGTGAGCCAGATGTACATAGCGTTCGTGATCGCAACATTGAGCAGAACAACCTGAAATCCGAGGAACGCAAGCGCGTGTCCCTCGATTTGCTCGTAGGCGACACAGACAAAGATCATACGGAACATGGCGGCGAGGAAGATGTTGATGGGGGTAACAACCTGCATCAGTTTCCAGTACCACTCCGGGAGCTCTCCCCTCCTGTAGGACAGCATGGTGCTCGTGTAGTCTAGGAACAAATAGATGACGAGTGAGTATTCGAAGAACGGGAAGTACATTGCCATCATCTCGCGGGCGGGCGTATAATCCCACACGACGCAAGAGTTGGCGTATCCAAAGATTTGTGTCAGGTGACTTTCGTCGAGTGTGAATCCCATGCCGTACTCGAGGTCGAAGGGTCCGCCCTCACGGTTGAACGGTCCGCATCCCAGGCGCTCGGCAGGCGTGTCGGGAGGTGCACCGGCCTCGATGATTGGCTCCACCAACGTCGCGCAAACCAGTTTCGCAAAAATCATCAGGCTCCAGAAAAAACCGTAGGCGAAGAGCCTCCATCGTTCGGGCTTGACGGTGATCGAAAGGCTGCCTCCCCCGCCCGGCTGGGGAGCGTAGGGCGGAGCTTCGTATCGAATGGCCATGGTGTTAGTGTTTTTTTTCGGTGCCTTGCCTTTTGGTTTCGTCCTCGCAAGGAACAAATGAGAACAAAGACTACTGTCACAAATAATGGTTGGTTAGATGGTACCGTAGTAAGTACGGTATATAACCAATTGAAGACGGGGTGCTCTTGGATCTTTTGGTTCCGAAGCCTTCTCCGGTGTCAAACGAAGAAATTGGTTACCAATTGCCGTCATTTGCCGTCATCATGATCTTTTTTGTTTTTTTGGTTTCTATAAGTATTCTCTCTTTACTTATTAATTTATTCGACTAAGTGGAAGTACAATAATACGATTAATCATATTACGTCAAGCTTGAAGGTAGTGCGATATCTTGCAACCGATGATGTTATGTAATTTTTGTGTCGTCTATGATAAGTAATGCATCATGATATCAAATAAATCAAATCATATGATATCTTTACCGGATCGTACTAGATACCACTTGTACTGTGGACTGAACATGACATGTGCAACGAACAGAAAAGAAACGAAAAAAGTATTGTGGTACTCGGAAGTACGATATTACATGAAATGATACGGTGCCCAATGCTGCCTTTATCCGAACGAGCTTTAAATACGGTAGCTCTCCAACGCGCAGAACAAAAGTCTTCCAACGAGAATGAGACGGACTACCGTATGTAACATAAAAGTTACATACTTCTGGTTACATTTTGGGTACGTCCACGCGCGGACCGTGCGACAAACAAGTTATATCACCGTTATATCATAACCACTTAGTCGAACACGATGTATGTTACGGTACGTACCGTACGGTACAAGTACTCTGTTGAGGTCTTGTAAGAGTACGTACGTACCCGTACTATTGTATCGTGGTAAAAGTATCCAAAATAGAAATACGTCCGGTATGTACGAGCGTATGGTATGATAGGAAACAACGAAGCTACGGTACCGTTCCGTTCCGATCATACGAACTATTGGGATACACAGTACGGTAGGTACGTACTGTACGGGGCACCAAAGTGCAGCACTGTAAGATAGAGCACGGTAGAGTACGTACGGTAGCGTACGGTACGTACGTACCGGTACATACTTGTACTTCTAATAGATACAGACTCGCTCAGTTCCCGCACAGATCAAGCAGAAGAGACAACGAACGGATTGTTCTCTTCGAGCAGCAGCTGATCGCTTCCGTTCTTTCCGAGCAACAGCACAACAACGACCTTTCCAAGCCTCGTTTGGATGGTGTGGTACATCTAAGCAAGCAAGCAAGCAACAGGGTTCTTTCCGTCCTAGCAGCGACCCAATCACAGGTACTAGTATTACTATACAGTACGAGTACCATACCGTACTGCTGGGAGCATCAGCCTACCGAACGATCCGATCCGATCCCGGCGTTTGCGTACCAAGCAACTTTCGATAACACCAATACCACTACAATTACCACTACAAATACCGACACAAATACCAACGGCAAGGCCAGCGAAACGAGAGCAGCAACACAGGCATAACAGAACACAACACAACACAACACAACACAACATAGCATGACCTTCGTCCTTTCTCGACCCCAAGAGGACAATATTCTTTGTACCGCGGAACACGAACAGGAAATGGTTGGACTCGTTGCAAACCTCGGCGGCAACCGCAACGCAATGACCAACCGGGGCGGCGGAAGTGGCCAGAGCACCGGGGGCAGCAACGCCAACAGCCACAACGCCAACGTGAACGCCAACGCGAACCAGCAACACGGCCACACACCCAACCCCTACTCCGTTGCGCCAACCCTCGCCCTCTACCGCACCCGCACCCGGAGCCGCCCCGAGCACCGGAGGGGGAAACCCCACGAAGTCCTGGCGCTCATGAGAACCCTCAAACACCGCCCCTGGTGCGCGGTGGCGCTGGTGGTGGGGCTGCTGGCGACCGTCGCCTTTGTCCCGGCGCTGCTCTCKCCGGCAGCGGCACCGGCACCGGCGGCCCCCCAAGGCGGAGGCACCGCCGGAAGCATCCCCCCGCACAAACCCGGGCCCACCGGGGCCGGCCGGGGCCCTTCGTTGCTCGCGCGAAGGGAGGGGTCGGTCCGGCTGGGCCGCGGCGGTGGCGGCCGCTCGATCGGGTACACCCACCAACCGGCAAGCACGAAACACAAAGACAAAGACGACCAGCACCAGCACCAGCACCAGCACCATTTGGTCCTCCTGCACGGGGCGGCCTTTTCCAGGGCCGACTGGGACTCGTTCGGGATCCTGGACCTCTTCCGGAAGAAGCACCCCTGGCTGGCCGTGACGGCCCTGGACCTCCCCGTCTCGGCGGGGTACGCCGACCTTTTCGAGGTCCTGGACCTGCTGGCCAAGACGGAGGCAGACGCAGACACGGACGGGGGAGAGGGAGCRGGACCCGTCCTCCGGTCCCTCCCGGTCTCGGCACTGGTCACCCCGTCGGCCTCGGGCAGGACGGTTACCAGCTGGATCCAATCGGTGTCGTCGGATTCGTCGTCGGATTCGTCGAACGGCGGAGAGAAAGCAGAGRCGCCCACCGACTATTTCCGCCTCTGGATCCCCGTGGCGTGCTACTCGGTCCAGAAGTGCACCAAAGGCCAGCTGGAGGGGGCGCTGGCGGAAGGGAATGGCCCCCTCCGAGGGGACACGGAGGCCCTGCGCGTCCTGGCCATCTACGGAGACAAGGACCCCAAGGGGAAGACCGTCTCGGAGAAGCTCGGGGAGAGCCTCCCCCGTTCGACCGTCCTGGAGCTCCCCGGTGGCCACCCGGTGTACAGGGACAGCCCCGACGCCTTTGTGGACGCGGTGGCGGCCGAGGTCGCGGGGCTGCCCTGACCGAGGCGCGGGGCGGAGCGGAGCGGGAGCGGGCACTGGTACGGGCCTCGAGCCGAACGGAACGAAACGAAACGAAACGAAACGGAATATGCCGGTGCGGAAGGAATCGACTGCAAGGGAAGACGCAACAACAGCAACGACAACTACACAATGAAACGAAGGAAAATCGCTACCACCATCGACGCTTGTTTCTCGCGAAACCAAACCGACTKGGACTGTGTCGAGTTCGAGTTCGAGTTCGGGTCCGGGTTCGGATGCATGCGCGATGAAGCACGAACGAACCTTGTCGAATGCGATGCGGTTCGGTTCGGTTCGGTTCGGTTCGATGTGATTATGGGATGCGATCGCCGTTCGTCCCTTTGCGGTCGGCGGATCACCGAGCCAGCCAAACCAAACCAAACCAAACCCCTCGGCGCGTGCGGCGGAACGCTTGGAATGCCACCGGGCGGGGCCCCCTGGCAGAGTCCCCCAACCAGCCTACCAAAAGGCAGTGCCTCGGATGGGATGGGATGGGACGGGATGGGATGGATCCGTCCCTTGGTCGTTGGCCTGCCCCGRAAGGAACCAAGGGCCCCTGGCAGCACCGGCGAGTCGTTGCGTTGGCACCGAACCGACGGGGAACGCCGATGCGTTCCGCGGTGCTTTGCGGCGCGGTGCGTGCCCGGGCAGAGACAAGCGAAGCGTGCCCGCACGATTGGCTGGGCAGAAGTGGATGTGCGTGGCTGCCTCCGATGCGGTTTCGAACGGGCCTGCCGTAGTGCGGTACAGTACGGTACAATACAGTACATTATAATACAATACAAAACTTGTATAATACTAATAGTATAGTATAGTACCCCTAGTATTTTTTCGCTTTTCGGATGGAACAGATCCTCCTTCCACCCGGTTGGTTTCGAATCCGTCTGCGCCGCGGTGTTTGCACAACGAAACGAAACAAACCAATCGCTGCATCGCACCGCACCGCACCGCACAAACCGAAATCCTCGTGCAAGCAGCACACCCCGTCGTTCCGTCCTCTTCCCCCGGCCGTCCTCCGTGGGACGGCGCAAGGCAAACCGGTGCACGGTGGATTGTTGCTTGTGGCCCGTGCCGCCCGGCCGAGCGGGACTGCCTTGCCTTGCCTTTGGTTCTTTGTTTCGCCTTGCCTCGCCTCGCCTCGCCTCGGTATGTGTCTCGTTCCGTTCTCCCCGGATGTTCCAAGCGAGTCTCGGTGCAGCGCCACAAAGCCGATCCGTCGCACCCATGGAGCGGATCCCGGGCGGCATCCCCGAACAAACAAAGCGGGCCGCAATCCGTGTGGAATGGATGGAGGCATGGATGGAGGCATGGATGGAGGCATGGATGGATTCGTTCCTTCCTTCGTTTGTTCTTTTGTTGTTTCGCCATAGCCAAGGCACCCACCGTACCATCCACGATACATCCACGATACCAAGCAATTACCACCATCGATCGACAACAAAGGATCCCCGCCCGAACGGATACGTASCGTTGCCGTTTTGGCTTCCTCTGCCGGCCGGGATTCTTCGTCGGTGGTGGTGGTTTTGTTTTTTTGTTCGCATCCTTTCGCTTGTAGGTACTGGGTACCTGTACCTGGTACTTAACGGTATCTTTTGGTTTGCACTGGGTTTGGTTTGGTTTGGTTTGGTTTGTTTCTCCCCCCTTGTTGTTACGGGCGATTCGTTCGTTCTCCCCCAAACCACCGCGGAGCCAATCCCGGATCGCAGACGGTTCGAGAGGTCTAGAATACTCTCGCCGTGCTGCATCGTAAGACTTAGTAYAKATTCTACACAAGATATTTTTGCGAGTTCCGGCGAAACTGACATGGTTCGTACTTCTAGAAGTATTTGTTTGGAAGGAAAGATCCCTGTTCCCGATTCCGTCCACCCAAAGCCCACCGAACCGGGCTACGTACGAGTACTTGGCTACCGTAGTAATAACGTACGTGTGAAACCCGTKCKGTTTGGTCACGAAGGAATCTCAGATGCTCGTTTCCCTTCTTTCGTTGAAGAGAAATCCGGCGACGGCCMGCACTGCAGGCGTACGGTACAGTSACGAGATGCCATGCAATGCCATACCGTTCGGCGAGGTCTATTTTCTGTGTTTTGGCGAACTCTTCGCATGAGGATTCCTGGTTCCGTTCCTGCGGTGTCGTCCGGTGTCGTCCGGTGCAGTACCGTTTCTACGGGATGGGGATCGGATGYGGGGGTCATTCCCGTACGGCACGAAATTCGTGGTCAGCGTTCGCAGCGTGACCCAATAGGAACACACGAAGACCTTCGGTCCGGCGACTCGGATCTGCCTCGTCATGGCCTGTCATTGCTTTGCACCAATCGGAAAGAGGACGAACGAACCGCACGAGAACCTATGTATCGTACAGTACCAAGTACCCGTACTCGTACCGGATCTTGTGTCGACTGCCATCGGCATTTTTTGTTCTCGCGTACCTGGTACTGGTACATTACACCCTTCCTCCCTGCCTACGTTTTTAGCGCAGAACCGATCCAAAAGAAGCTGCAGATAGCAACACGAACGGCAACGAAAAACACCAATTGCAACGTGCAACGCACCTTCCCGTCCAGCCTCACAYCACTATCTTAGGGTACGATACGCACTAATACGAGTATTCGTATAGCACTCAACTCACCTTCCCGTTCTTCTACCGAAGCAGCTACGGACATAAAGTACCATAGCTCCAAGGCGTTTCTCTTTTGTTTCGACACGAAATCCAAATCCTTCGTTCCGCTGTTGTTGTTGTTGTTTCACATACTCGGACCCCCTTGTTTCACATAATCCGTTCCCGCGCAACCAACACGACAGCACAGCCCCTTCCTGCTGCCCGACACAAACCAACAAATTCAAACTCCACAAACCAAATCCAACACCAACACCAAAACCAACACCCAAACCAAAACACAATGTGCAAGCTCACCAGCACCAACATCGAGACCACCAACGTCGACGTCGACGACACCAACCTCGACAGCGACCCCGCCCTGGGACGCAGCGAATCCGARTTGTCCGAGGACACGGAGCGGGAGGTCTGGGAATTCATGACGCCCATGCACTGGCACAAGTCCGTGGCCGACAAGAACTCCATCTTCCGCCCCACCTACCAGGCCACCATCGATGCACTCCGCAAGACGGCCGAGGAGGGCGGATACGACTGCATCCTCGAGGTGGGCTGCGGCACCGGCGACATCATCGGAGAGATGAACAACCAGAAGGCCGTYCGAACCTCCGTCAATTCCAAGACGGCCAAGGCCGCCGAGGCAAACGCCAACGCCATGGTCACCATTCCCTGCATCGGGGTCGACATCAACAAGGAGTTCATCGACTTTTGCAAGACCCAGCACCCCCACGAATCCTGCGAGTTCGTGGTGGCGGACGCCCTCAAGCTCCACGAGTGGTGGATCGAGGAGGGACACGCGGAACGCTTCCACAAGCCCCTCGTCATCTGCGTCAACAACACCCTCAACATCATGCCCCACGAGCTCCGCGGGGGGGTCGTCGATCAGATGATCGCCGTCGCCGGCTCCGAGGGTCTGTGCATGGTGTCCTACTGGAACGGCAACTACTTTTCCCACGCCRTTATGAACTACTACAAGAAAAACCCGCAGCTGTGCGGGGAGTTTGAGGTCCACAAGCACGTCGACTGGAASCAGAACATGCTGGTCACCCCCACCAACTACATGACCCACTGGCAGACGCCCCTGGAGGTCCAGAAACTCCTCAGRTCCTACGACGTGGACGTCSCCGACATTGTGSCCGAGRACGACCTCACCAAGACCGGGTCCCCCCACATCCGCTGCGATTCGCTCGCCATCTTTGTCTGGTTCGACCGGACCTCGACCTCCAACGCCAAGGGATACTACGATTCCGACGACGCGCAGAACTTTTACTCCCAGATCTGGGGCGAGGACGAGCTCCACGTCGGCCGCTACGACCTCCTCTCGGAGGACGAGATCAAGGGCCTCTCCGACCAGGAACAGATCAGGAGGGCCGAGGAGCTCCACGAGCTGGAGCTCGTCAAGAAAATCCGCAAGTGCTGCCTGCCCGAGGAGGACGCCGTCTCCCGGAACCACGGCCTCCGGGTCGTCGACATGGGCTGCGGCTTTGGCGGGCTCATCCGCCGCTTCTACGCGGAGGGCCTGGTCTGGAAGGCCACCGGGTGCGACATTTCCCACCGCATGTGCGCCAAGGCCCGGAGCCGCAACGCCGAGCTCCTCGGAAGGGAGGACACTTCCACCCTCGAGGTCCTGGCCGAGTCCTGCCTGCAGATGAGCCTCGGCGACGAGTCGGCCGACGTGGTCGTCAGCGTCGACTCCCTCCTGCACGTCGGCCCCGAGCGGCAGCGCCTCGCCGTGGCCGAGGCCGCCCGGATGCTCCGGCCCGGTGGCTGGATGATCTTCTCGGACATTATGCAGGAGGAGGTCCTCCGCTCCAACGAGGACATGCAGCCCATCTACGACCGGATCAACCTCACCAAGATGGGAACCGTCTCGAACTACAAGTCCGCCCTCGAGGCCTGCGGCTTTACCAACATCTCGGCGGACCTGCACTCGGAGAACGTCTCGGAGCACTACGGACACGTCCTGAAGGTCACCGAGGAGAAGGGGGCCTCCATCGGCCTCTCGGAGCAGTACCTTGCCAAGGCCGAGGCCGGCCTCAAGGTCTGGAAGGAAAAGTCCCACGGAAACATTGCCTGGGGCATCATCTGCGCCCAAAAGACCTCCAAGGTCGACCTCTCCAAGGTTCACTGAGGTGGACCTGATGCGCTCCAGCGTTCCGAGCAAGCCCACCGAATCCATTTGCTTGTTGTTGCAGCCGATCCAACACCACACCACAATCGGGCGTGGCACGGTGTGCAGGCGTCACGTGTCGTGTCCAGCTACCAGGTCTAACAGCTAGACTGGCTCTTCTCCCATTCTATTTTCCATCCATTTCCATTTGCGCTACAACACGAATTGATTCGCTCGTTCGGTTCGATTCGACCCCCAACCGCATACCCACACAAGCTTACTACAAACCCCATACGAATTTGAATAAACGTCTATAATCATTTTAACGAAAAACCATAACCATTGCCTCGTAGTATTGGCGTKACACGGTGTGCCTCTTGCACCCGTTTCGCTTTCGCAATGAAAAGCTACGACTCTGGGAGGCTTGTAGCACAACTTTCCTGTACTATACCTCGGGATCATACCGTGGTTTCAAAGACTGTCGACAAACGCATCTCAGCGGCAAGCGATGGATGTACCATGCCGAATGAGAATTGCCACAGCCCCATACTCTTGCTCTCGCTGCTACTTTACTACGCAGTCTAGACTCCGGCGCTTCTCCAAAACACACTTTTCCAGAACATTGTGGGAAGATTCCAAAGGCGAACCGAACACTGAATCATGTAGAATCCCAACATAGAGAAGCGGAACCCTGAACACCAAAACTGACTCTGCCGGGAAGACCTTCTTTGCTGCTTGCAGCAATCAGCATCCGTTTGTTACAGTCAACAGGACAGAACAGAAAAAAAGACCAGTATCATACTACCATTGGGAGACCAATAGAGGAGTTGAGAGAAGAGATTCTGTACGGTTCACCAAAACGTGATGATTTTTGACTCATAATGGCCTGCTGTGGTGAATCAACCAACAATCTGGCTGGCTACTATTATGTAGTAGCATTGCAGTAGTTGTTGTTGATTTCTTGTATATATGCAAAGCAGCACTTTGATATAAACACAGAAATCATTCTGTACCAACAAGAAGGGCGCTCTTGAACAAAGTGCCAATGTTTTCTGACTTATTGTGTACTATTACTACTAGTAGTAGTACATTACTGCTGATGGTGGCAGAGGAAAATGTAAATTGAAATTTCATTTCTTTAAGAACATAGTAGTAGCAAAACCAGAAATAGTACTACCAGTACCGTACAAGTAGTAGTAGTAGAATACTAGTAGCTGGTTCTAGTACTCCTTTTTGCTAGTAAGCGCAAAGGAACATCAGCAACAGCAGTAGCAAGCACCAAGAAGAAGAATTTTTTGAGAGGACTTCATATAGGCTGCTCCTCTGCTGTATTTAATTTTTGTTTCTCCTGCTGCTTGCTTCTGGAGCTTGACAAGAAGGTTGTCTTTATGTCATACAATGCAGAAGGTTGAAGTCTTCCTCATCAAGATAATCCTACTAGTACTATGATGATGGAGCAAGGGATTCTCCATTTGTTGCTTCTTGACTTTGTTCTTCTTGCTTCTTGACATTGCTCGCTTTGCATAGCAAGAAAAGATTTTGTAATTCTGCTGTCAATTTTCATTATTCCTATTTTGTTCCTTGTTCCTATGGGAGTACTAGCATTTCTTCATCCCTCATAAAATTCTGGATCTTTGGTTCAGTATGGCAGTACCACTAGTACTAGTAGTACTAGTACTGGGGTAGGGAACAGCCAGGTAGCAAGCCACCTCAACAAACTTCTTTTTCATTATCAAATATTTTGTTCAAGAGGAGTTGTAGCAAAAATTGCTGAGTRCAAGGAGGAGGATTACTTGTGAACAAAAATACTTCAAACCTTTCCTCTAATCCAATAACTAGTCATGTCATTTTCTTGTGAATTATATCTAGTACCTCCATAATGTTGTGAATGCAGGAGTGGCAGTGGTCAGCATTCTATTCTTTTCCGAAAAGAGTTTGTGAGATATTCTCCAACCAGCAGGAATATTCTTGAATTAATGCACCAATTTTCWAAACAAATTTCTTGAAACGCACAAAATTACACTTCAGATCTAAAAATTATCTCCTAGACTTCGTACCAATTCATACCTGAACAAGGCCTTCTGGCATCTGACCATGGTGACATCTCCTTTGGAAGGGGAAAACCACCACCTCCCTGGCTTCTCAAGTAATCTAATAACCAAGACTATACTAATAAATTGATACCATTCCACCATATCCCAAGTCAATGGCAGTCTGTCCCAGCTTCTTGTGGATCCATCCCCAGTTCATACAGACTGGAAGAAGATTCCAGTCACAATATTGTTGTTTCTGGCATTTGTCCCAGACAGCAACAACAACAACAACCTTGGCCCCCAGTATTCAACCACCAAGACCTTTCCTTTGAAGAACAATGCCTGGAGCATGTGTTACATACTCAGTTTTCAAGAAGATTTAACAGCACCAGCCTTAACTCCATGGTAGTTTCAGTTTTTACTGAGCAGCAGAAGATCCCAGTCATGATGTTGTTGTTTCCAGCATTTGTATTGGTCAGCAACAACAAAAACCTGACAAGCCTCTATTAAGTAATACAACAAAACTGATGACAATATCAGTATCCCAAGTAACCCCACCACCAACTGGTGCTTGCATTTTGCCTCAGCTGGATCCATCCCCAGTTCTTAGATTCCAGTGTTGAAGTTGTTTCTGATATTTGTGCTGGAAAACAACAGCAACCACCCCAGCCCCYAGTATTCAACCAAGAACTACCCTTTGTAGAACAACGCCCWGAGTATCATATGATATGTATCACTCAATTTAAAGACCTTCACCCCATGGCAGTTCCAGTATTTACTACAGACCAGAAGAAGCTTCTTCTGGTCCTCACAAGAATGTTGTTGTTTTGGACATTAGTGTTGGACAGCAACAACAACAAGATCAACCCCCAGTAATCAACCAAGACCTATTGAAGAGCAATGCCTGGAGTATATGCTACATCATACTCAGTTTTTAAGAAGTTCCCCAGAATCTCCATGCAGTTCCAGTATTATTTACRGACCAGAAGCCCCTGTGTTTTCCGGTCATGATGTTGTTGTTTCCAACAGTAGTCATGTTGTGCAGCTATAGCAACAACAAGCCACCATGCTCCTACTAATACCACATTAAAGCAATTCCACCAAGTTAATACTGCTTTGATCAGCATCCTTCCCCCTACCCCACCAGTTCTTTGAACTGGAAGAAGATTCTGGTCATAATGATGTTGTTTCTGACATTTTTTTGGACAGCAACAGCAACAACCCCAGCCACCAGTATTCAACAACCAAGACCTAGTATCCTTCTAAGAAGATTGCCTGGAGTATGTGCTACATATTGCTCAGTTTCAAGCAAGAAGATTCACCACCAGTCTCAGCTCCCTCCTGTGCCAGTTCCACCAGTWTTTACAGACAGGACAGACAAATCCAGTCATAATGTTGTTGTTTCCAACATTTGTGTGTTGGACAGCAGCAGCAASAACCCCAGCCCCCAGTTTCTTTTTTTTTCAACCAAGACCTATCCTTTGACAAACAACACCTGAAATAKTATGCTATATCATACTCAGTTTAAAGAAGATTCACCAGCCTTAGCTCCATGCTAGTAGTAGTAGTTCCAGTATTTACAGACCAGAAGAGGAAGAAGATTTGTTTCCAACATTGATGATGGAGAACAGCAACAACATCCTCCTGTAGTGTGACTGCAACCATCAAGATTTCTTAAGCTCCACTTCCACAGGCTATGGGCTCAACACTACCAAGAAGTTAGTGTGTTAGTTTTRATTTTTTCTTTTGGCCTGTCTTTTTCTTTTGATTTTTTAAATGGCCACTCCTAGAACACCTGTGTCTTTGTACACTGCAATGGTGCTTTCCTTAATTTGTGGTACAAGAAATGGCTGTTGACACATTGCCTTATCTTTGTTGTCTTAGCTGGTAGTGGTGTAGTCCTGCTGTGACCTTCATTCCTCCAGTTCATTATGCAACTTGGAGAATTCTTGTACAACATCATGTTCCACCTCTTCTAGTATTGTGCTGTTGAACTTTATGTTGGATTTTTGGTGCTTTTGGTATGAGCTTCATTCAAAACTGGTACTAGTACTATAGTATGCCATTTGTTGTTGAATGATGTGCAGCTAACAGTAATGGTACTTTTATACATTCTTAATATAGTAGTATGACTATATTCTTTATGGTTTCTCAAAAGGAGGAACACCATTGTTGTCCCCTACACCAGCATGGCCCAGATCTCTAGCAGTACTACTGACRAGTTGTGCCACCCTGGTGGTGGGAAGGACATGGTGCTAGCTACAAGTAGGCTTCATTAATGTTGGTCAATAATGCAGCATGATCCCTTGCTCTGGCATGTATGATCATGTCCTCAATTGGATTGCACGTCACCAGAAGCATATTCTGATTAATTCCAAATTTTCTGGAACATCCTCCTTCTTAGTACTAGTAGTACTACATATCATGTTGGAACCAGAAAGTGGCCAGAAATTTTAAATTGCATGATATTTCACTAGTATTGCTGAAAATTGTTTGATTTCAATCCTACAACAATGTAGCTCYTCATCCTTGTAAACTAGTACTATTTGTAGTAGTAGCTTGTGCAAGAGCACCACAAACCTTGTTGTAATACTACTACTCTGTGCTTGTTTCTTTGTAAAAAGGTCCCTGGGGGAAGTGGGAGGTACTAAAAATGGGAATTGTGATGCATTGAGCAGCTRTGGTGAACAGCAAAGAGTGATACTTTGAGGAAAATTTTAAAAGTTCTATTGTTCCAATAGCAGGGGTGCTGGCATTAATTAGTATTATTATTGTTGTTGYTGCTGGAAATCTACCAATAGCATTAAAAATAATTCACTTTACTACTGGAAATCTAGAAATTTCACAGGGATTTGTGCATATTGTGCTTGCTCCTGTGCTCAGCACCAGTCTTCTAATTCACCACAATTAATAATAGTTCCAGAGTATTACAGGGGTTTGCGTGCGTTGTAATGGCTCTTGGTGTGCTCAGCAGTTGTTTTGTTCAACAACAAAAAATAGTACAGCAGGAGTGACTCAAATGCTTGCTCTTGTGTTCAGCAGTTATTTGATTCACCACCAAAATAAATAGTTCAAAAATAGTATGGGGGCTCATGCACATTTTGCATGCTTCTGCTGTGCTCAGTCTTTTAATTCACCGAAATAAATACTAGTAKTTAAAGAACAGCACAGGGGTCCATGTGCATTGTGCTTGTCCCTGCTTTTAGCCTTTTAATTCACCAATTCAAATAGTTTCATAATATTATGGAGACTTGTGTACTTACTACTATCACTAGCTCCTATGTATCCTTCCTCCATAGATGTGTAGTAGCTTCTACATGCTCCCTGCTTCTCTGTATCCATCCTCCATAGGTGTGTACTTTCTTCAGCAAAAAAGTTGACAATTCACTGACAATTTATTTGCCAGCAAAATACACATGCACTTTCCTGGATCTCCAGTATCACCAGCTCCACTGGGCTGAACCTCCATCCTCTGTGTCAGCAGATCCTCTGTACTCTGTACTATATGTCACACAAACYCATAGTATAATGGTTTGTTCAGTTTCCTTGCATGGATCACGACAAAATTGTGCTGTTCCAATACAAAATTGCAGCCCTTTTTCACTGGGTTATGTTCTCACACCCTAGTATGTTTCTCACCATGAATTCCACACTCTTTTCCAGGGTTCATACTGTTTTTTATCCTCACCACTGATCAGTTCTGCTTCTTGTACTGGGACTCTTCCAAATGAATTAAATAGATAAAAAATTGTTCAAAAATACTAGGAGTTCCAGCAATGTGACGTACTCCCCCACAATACTGTAAAATTCACCATAATCCAACCACTTAGTCAGAATCAAGTTCTACTTGTTGCAATTATCAACTTCCRTTGAATCAGTCCCATTCCTCTGTAGTACAAGTAGTAGCCTATGTCCAGTTGTCTATTCCATACATACAGTACAAGAAGTGTGACCAAATACACTACCACCAAAGCACTTGGTAATAAAAACATTGATTCCATTCTTGCATTACCAAGAAGAAGCAAGTGTAACCAAAATATAAAGTAGACCTGACAAGCAGTTGTATTGTTGTTGTATGTAATGTGATAAAACCAATTTTTTACAATTACAATCCATTGTTCACAACTAAAATCTTGAAAAGAACAAAGCAATCAAATGAAAATGAACAATTTGCACAGTTGACAGACAGAGTAATTGACAAACAAACTGTACAGTTGATATGGACTGTTCTTGAAGCCCTCAAGGTGTGACAAAAAATGGTTCTCAAAGCTGCTGGTGTCACCATCCAAACTCTAGCAAGCTGCAGCACCAGTAGCAGAAATGGACCACCAAGAAGAACATGGGCCACAAAACAATACAAACCAGACCTAGAGAATAATRGCAAACAAGAGCAGTACACCATACTACTGAAAAATTGAAAGCAACTCAGAAGTAATGGTACTACAGATCTGTCCCTTCTAACAAGCTTTGCTACTACTCTCTACTGAGAAAYATATATTGCTTTGCTTGCTTGCTTGTTCAGTATTTGTAGTAGTAGTTGGTYGTGTTGGTGAATTATTATTTTCTGGTTTTGTTTAAATACTACTAGTATCATGCTGCTGCTGCTCACAACAGTGCTAGTGGTACCTTCAATCTGTAACTTTTTACTATTAGTCCTACTCTTCTTGATTCATTTCTTAATAGTAGAGTCGTGTCAGTACTTTTCCAAAAACTTTATTGGTTTTTCTCCTCCTCAACCACTTTGGACTCAAACCTCCATTTCACAATTTTTTCCCTACCAGCACTGTGTAGCTATCAGTGGTATTAAATGGTCATGCTGGCACACTCTTCTCTTGAAGAAGGAATGTCATGAGACCATAGTGCCTCTTCTACTACTACTAGTATTAGTCTCCAATGAGGATTTGTCCTATGATTTAGATGGTACTAGCAACCCAGTAATAGGTGCTGAGGTTTGGGGTTTGAATCCCCACTTGGTTGCCCTTTCAGAAAGACTCCTCAGAGTGAAGCATTGCCCTTTGGAGCGGCTAGCTGCATTTCTCCCCTTGGGTGCAGGAATGATTCTGGCCATGATATAGTGCCTCTTGTTTTTCTAGTTCACGAAGTAAAATATAACATTAAGATTTTATTTTACTAGTACTATTAGTCCCCAGCCAAGGTTTAATATAATCCCAACAAGTTGTTTTTCTCCTTGTTTGTTCATCTACAGGAGGTGGTGGTACACTCAGTGACAGCTGTACTGAGCTATAGCTGAAGCTACAGCAATGACCTATAGGAGGGCAAAGCTAGGAGGAATGACAACTGAAAATGATTACAAGTGAAGTTGGATCTGTGTGCTGTGAAAAACTTATCAGAGGTGCCACCAGTTTTCTTTGTTTTTGGTACAACATAGTAGAACTTGGAGAAATAGAATGCAGCATTACTAATGCTAGTAGTACTATTGGCTGGTGCTTCAGGTGTTGGTTGAAAAGTACCAAGTTGCTTTGACCAAAATGTCAGTGCCACCAAAGGAGACCRCAGAACAACAATTTTTTGGTGTGGAGTCCCTCAATTTCATAGTCAGAACACCTGATAGCTGTTGACCACTACAAGGATTGTATGGTCACCCTTCTAATAGGAGGATGCTGCAGAGCGTATCTCATCTACCACTACTGCTGCTGTTGTTTTCAGGACACCAACACTACATAGTGGAGGGTAAAGAAAAGGCTAATAATGGTATCTACTACTACTAGTTGTAAATTTGCGAGACTTCTATGACGTGTTGGCACTACTGGTAGCTGTTGTCGGACTCCTCTCCTAAACAACAAATTAAAAAAGTCTAGTGCTTTTGTAAAACGAAAATGCAAGTTGCTACAAGAATTGAACAGTGGTGCGGCCTCCAAGTAAAACAGGTCTTGTCATGGTTTCAACTCCGAGTGAATCGTAGTAATTCTAGTAATTGTAGCTCGTTGTTCATTATGATCCGTCGAACCAAAGTAGCAAGGGACACCACAAGGAATTTCTTAGTGACGACGCATAGTTGGACGATTATCGCGGCTGCGAGTGCTGTTGTGTATCCCTGCGCAGCCAACGCAGAGAATCAATCCAGTTCGACCAAAAGCGATCGCTTTTTTTCAACAACTTGCGAATATACCCTAGTCCTTTCGATTCTATTGCACATCGTCGATGCCCGATGGTATGTTTCAGGCATCAGAAGTCGCAGAGACAAACACCCGAGACGCGAATTCACGTCCAATCACTAGGAAAAAACCGCAGCATCCCCGTCCATGCCGCGGACGTTGGTTCCGTCTTTTCGTTTCTTCGGTGTCGAGACGCMTTGGAACTCTTTGCAAACTCTGGAAAGAAGGCGCTACAGCTTTGGCGTTTGGAGAAGTGGCGACCACGTCGAATTATTCTCGTGCTCCCGTACGCAACTCGTACCGTGAATACTAAGAGCACTTTTGGGATATTCTCTGGAGACGGCTCGGGTAGATTTTGTCTCCGGCTGCTCCCGATTTTGCTTGAAAGCGAATCATCACTGTTGTATTTCATCGGGAACACCAGATGATGGCGCGAACGAGATCGACTCTGGAGTTCACAAGGCGATCGATCCAATCAGAACTCGCCTCGTACGAGCACGAGAGCAAACATTCCACCCAACGGCTCTTTTGTTCGCGTTTTCCGCAGTCGTCACTGGAAGTCAGTCTTGAAACGGCGTCAACGAAACAGGAACGCGACACTGTGGAAAGCACCGAACCCAATCCACCGGCAGCACGACAGCATTGCTGTTGTGTAGCGAAAGTGTCGTAGTGAAACTTCAAGAAAATGAGAATCGTGCCTCTGTCCCGTCTTCCTCATGTTCCCTGCGAATTATGTGAAGCAACCCAGCAGTATAGTACGTACGTACTCRTAATGGGACTCAGACGTGTTGGTGTAGAAATGCAGGGGCTGTTAGAGAATCARCAACTTCCTGACGAATCAATAGTGAAAGTTCTCTGTATGCCAAGGCAGTCCTGAGTTCTTAGCTGGTACCCAGAGGTATGGCTCGGCAGCCTGGCATTTTATCTTGAGAACATAAAATGTTACATATCGCTTTCTAAAGATATGCTCTTCCACAATCGGGCAGCTGTTGATGGARRTTTTCGATTTTCGATTCTGATYCTGGCTCATAAAGTCAAATTTTCGAATGATTCATAAYCGACCTTATGCCGTTCGGGCAAGGCATAAGTTATTTGGATTCGAGTGTGTTCCGCGGCCGAGCTTATTAAATCTGAAAACGATCGACATCTGGTTTCCATGCAAACAATTGCACTCCTTGTCATCGGAACCCARCACTGATTGTGGTCGCGAGATTGTGTTGCTTCKATGATGGTATGTTCTACATCCCAGAACAGCATCAACCAAAAAAGAACGACAAACTTCGTAGAAYGTGGACGGAGTCCCAGTCGTACCGTTCAAAATACTTTCTTGTAGTGCGGCAGATAAATACCGTTTTCAATTGCAATAAACTATCAAGGTCACGACTAGAAGTAGGTCTTAAAAACGTATGACCAGGCCTGTGTGCATACGTGTCTCTTCAAAAATGCWAAATTTTCCTCGGCCCTTGGGGATTTTTGGAATGATAACTTAATTTATGACATGGGATTATCTGTACTTTCGGTACGTACCGTTACGTATCAGAATACTTACTATACCTGTATCAATTTACGTACCGTACTTTCATGCTTTTGCACTTTTATTGCCATGGTCATTCCTGAATGAGGTGGTGCTTCAAGCAGTTTGTTCTTTAAATATCAACTTCACCAATTTTTTGGACACCKTGCAGTTGGCTAGGTTTCAGTAATATTGCCAAAAACCTTTCGCATGAATCACAAAACGCAAGAAACCAGAAAAATCCGGCAGTTTGCATTGCCTGCCCTCCACGTCAAAAACAAGGGACGATGSTGAAGTAATTTTTCCGTTAGCAGCCCGTAATCGAACCAAAACGAACAGTCAGAACGCATTTTTTTCAGTCACGACTCCTCCTGTCTCAAAAGGTGTCAACGAAGCCCAGAACTTTGGTCATGAATCTACACGAATCCTACGCGCGGTGAAGGGTATGTGATGCGAAACTCTGGTCGCTAAACCTGCACATGCCGAAGAGGTTTGGRGACGAAACGAAACAAGTACCTGTGCAAAAATAGAACTTCCAGTCACACAAAAGTAGCAAATTATATGAGCAAAAGGATGAGAAAATGCGAAGACTTCTTGAGTCAAAGTCCGCTTCGAACGACACAACAATCCCAGAGAACAAAAGTACGTAGCACGAGTAAATACCTTCCTTACGGCATGCAAGAACAACTCACGGGGTTCTCGTCCTTCGAGAAGGTTTCTCGCCAACACCAGCATAATCTTGCGCTCGCCGTGTTCGGAAAAGGCATTCTGCATTCCGTGACATCGAACAAAACACCCATTCCCATTCCCAAAAACAACCAAAACACAAAATCGATATTCCACCCGAATACTTTTTCGAACATGACCATGAAACATCCACGTGAAGACCAGTTGCTCCTTGGGTCAGATCATAGCAAGACAAAGCGACCAAGGACCTCCTCGGATGCTTCGGAAACCAGCGCCATTGAGAACAAAAGCAGCAACATCATTCTCGGCAGCGGTGCCTCCGTGCACAACCACAGCAGCAACAACACCCTCAGCAGCAAGATCAAACCACTCCAGACGAAGCACGGCATCGACTCTAGCCGCAGTCCACGCATGATGGCACTTCTCTATTCCGTGGACGACGAGGCACGGAAGCTCGGACACAAGTGGCCTCAGCCTCCGTCCGCCTCCTCCACCGTTACCAGTTCTTCGGGACCAAGTTCTCAAGCACCAGCCCCCGCTCCCGATTCCACGGCCCTAGCGGCTGCCGTTCTCTTGCAGCAAAAACAACAGAAGCCACAGCAAACTCGCCCGGCAACCACCCGCGAAGCCCTCAACTTCTGCCAACCCCTGGTTGCTCGGCCTCGTGTGCACAAGATCAAGGAAGTCGCACCCACAACCGAGAGTTCTGCGRCCAGCCCTGCTCCCACCCCGGAACCACGGGAATCTCCGCCCGCTTCCTCGGCCCCTGCTCCGGCAACGGCAACGCTCGATAACATCAAGRCCGCCGTGGAAGCAGCGGCACCCGCCGCGATCGATGCCTACAACACGGCGGAGAACAACGCCGCAACGATTACCGCCGTGAATGCCGTCCTCGCGCAGCACCGGATTGCGGGGGCTGCCGTGGCTGCCCAAACCGGCTTTCCCACCAATCCTTCCCCCGCTCCAACGCCTTCCATTCCGCTCGGGGGAATCACGAAGAGCGGCCGGCCCCTCCACGCACTTTCGTTCCCGACTCTTGTGGTCTCCACCGCAGCCGGCGCGAACACGAGCTACGTGGTGAGCAACCCACGGTACGATGCGACCTATCTGCACCACGGGAACCGGCCCCTTCCCTTTCGAGGACCCACGGCTCGGCAACAGGCTATTCACGACGCGGTCCACAGCGATTACAAGAAGGTCTACCGGCCCCTGCAACAGCCACCGAGGCTCCCGTCACCCCAGGAGGCCCTCGTGATTGCGGCCATTTCCACCGCCRCCAGCCCTGCTTGTCGCTAAGCTAAGCTAAGCTAAGCTAAGTTCAACGACCGAATGAACGGTGCAGCATTTCGCGCAAGACAGTTTTCACACTTAGTCATCGGACAGCACAGCAGAACTCATCACAAAGCACGTCACGTCACGTCACGTCACAGCACAGCCCACTAAATCACACTCCATTTTTCAAGCCCCTGAGCAACCAAGGCAATCCGAATCGCTCGCTCCGTACTTTTGTACAAAAACACCTTCTCAAACTCCTAATTTCACCATTTTACTCTATCCAGAGTTCTGTTTTCAACATTTTGATTTTTTCGCACACATGCGAACCCTTTCTCAGCCATAGATCTACACASAACATTATGGTTCCACAAGCTTTTGTATTTTTGGGGAAATTCGTATTACGTCACGTTCACACAACAACAGCGCACTAAGCATTCTGTATGTACTCTAGTACTAGTACCACTACTAAACATGAAAGAAATATTAACATAATACATCGATTGAACCATCATCGTCTTTAGATCTTCTATAGTATTACAGTACTATCTGGTTTCGAGCATCGGTTGGTTGTTAGATTGGCTTCGAGTCCATGAGCTACTGAGAATTTTTAGAATCTTGTTACACATTCGAACCTCTATCGCCAAGAAGAGATTTTTTCTCCGCTCAAATTTAAAAATTTGTATTTCTTCGATAAGGAGCAGAAGATGTGACTTGACATCAGCAGGGATGCGGCACGTATAATCCTACTACTATCAGTACAGCATTTTACGGAAATTCTACCGGTAGAATTGCATACCACATCACAACGACCGGCAGAACGTTAACCCGCGATGAGTCCGTGTCGGTGAAGTTGAAGATGACATCATGGTAGGAACCTTTAATTACCAATCAGATAGAAGCACAAGAAGAACACCAATTCCTCATTTGAAGGAATCGAATGCTTTCTTCGGGTTTTCGTACCTTCGCACTAGGACAAGGGAGTGATGTGTCAAGTTTTCATTCGTTTTCTCGTGGGCACAAGTTGCCTGGAAATGGGGGGAAGACATTCTGAGGTGAAGATGGGAATTAGGGGATTTGGAACAAGGCCAATCAAAACGCAGTTCCGGATACACTACGTCACGATTCAAATGAATCTTCGTAAGCTCAATAACCTACCAAGAATTCCAAATTCCCAAGTGCCGAGAGAAAGAACGGAGGAACTAAAAGTCTGCGCATACGCAAAGGTAGAGAGGCCATAAAAGTGCTGCGCATTCGACTCGTTCGTTTGGAAAATTTGGATTGAAAGTACCAAAAATGCGATTCGATGTTACGTGGAATCCTCATAAGGAAAAGGAACCAGAATTCGTAGTAAGAAACATCGGTACAGGTGTAGACTTTATTTTTGATGTACCGTTTTTATTTTTTTTATTCTCCAACGAGCGACTACGTACTCSTACGTACTTGTAGATTCCCATGACATATGCTTCGTATGTTGTATGTGTATCKTACCCTATGATAATACAGAATGCAGGATGCCCTTTGGATTTGATCTGATACCGAAAAAGAATACCGTAGAATGTAACTACAGTACCGTACAATACAGAAATACTTCGTATCTAGTACGAAGTTCGTACGTGAGAGTGACTCTTTTGCGATTATTTTCACCGTTTTGTTTGTATGTGTGAAAAGTCGTACATACGTACCTTGCGTTRGAGAACATCCTTCACGATCGCATGATATTTTTTTCAAAATCGACCTTGCTCGCTCGCATAACGGTAGAACAAGATTCAAAAAGGATGGCTTATCATCGTACGATACTCGTATCCGGTACCGGTATGAAAAGCGATCGGTATTCATTCTTCCTTATTTGTAGTACAAGTTTACYGAACGYACGTACGTACTCATACGAAGAGAAGCGATTTTCCAATAGAATTTGTTGACACCGGACGATCATGATACCATATGTTGTGTTATGAGCATGCTTCGATTGCTCTCTACACTGCGACAGAACTCACATTCCTTCTATCTAACGAAAAATCTAACGAAAAAAGAGGCAGATTGGTATCCTGGTCGTTCTTTCGTCTAGTGCTCACAAACGAATTACGTAATCCTCCCTTTTGAACTTGTCAACCGTACAGTACCAATAGGCCAAAATGCAATTTCCGGCTGGCAGCCTAGCAATTCTTGCCTCCAAAGTCGGCAGCGATGAGCTTTCGGATGGGCGTTCCTTTATCGAAAACTGGAATCGCTTTCATCGTTATCAAAAAAGTAATGAAGACGCAGATGGACTATCAGCTTCCCACGAAAAGCTCAGGAACAAGAGGGGCACTCCCCGCATGGYTACCAAGATTGTGAACGAAATCCAGAAGCTTCGACACGTAGTGGAATGTGATCCTCTGGCAGAAACAGAGGTCGAGGACKATCGACGACTGAGTGGACAAGAGCTTTCCACCTCGTTTACCGCAAACCACGACAATGTCGATGAACTCGGTATCCTAGCTGCACCTTTTTCTTCCCCTACCTGTGGAGTGGGAAGAAAATGCCGGAAAGCAACCTCCGAAGAAGCATCTTCGCTGGGTGGCATTTGCGAGGATATCGACGGATGGGACTACCAAGAATTCCTTCATCGTCGAGGACTTCAAGAAGCAAGCGGTAATTCTACCGATTCGCAAGGCTACGATCCGAACAACATTGTACAGACTATGGAATTCGCATGCGAAAATGGCGGCCTGGTGGGGTACGACTGTGAATGCGATTTCGACACGGGCGACGCATATGTCGGAACTGCTGTCTGTACTACCCCTATATCATGCAGTACCACMGAATCTCTCTGTGGGGTTCCAGTCACGGATTGCTACAAGTCGACTTATTACGTGTCCTTGCAAGGCCAACGCGGGATTTGGGACGCCGAATTCTGCCTCGAATTCCTGGAACCCTACGCACAGACTGCGTGTTACAAGACTTCCACAATCGACTATGGTGTTACACCAAATAGTGAATGCGACATCTCGCTAGATGGAGAATACTGTTCATCGTGCGAGGTCTACAAATTTCGCGATTCGAATTGCTACGTCTTCGACTGCGGCAACACATCACAGTCAGGAAAGGGTCACGGAACAAGGAGCGGCAACACCTGCGACTTCCCCGCTCATGGAATAGGGTTCTTCATCGAATCATATGGCTGCCCATCTTGTGACATTTGTCAATCGGACAGTCCATTGGATCCTGGGATGGTCATGGCCATGACCGAGCCAGAAAACAGCGTGGTTTTCTTCAACACGACATATGATTGTGACTATGTCCAGCAGGTCTCCCTCGCGGGATTGTTCACTCCCGATTCTTGCAGTTACTTTGCTGAAATTGCAGGGGATGCTTGTGGTTGCGCTGCAGTCAAAGCCACTGATCTCGTTTCGACTCCGGCGGAGTCTGATTTACCTGTAACCGAAAACATCATTGTTACCACCGACTCTCCCACTTCGGCACCAATAGAAAATGGAGAATGCAAGATCTGTCCTGACGGGGTGTCCAATCCTGATGGTATCATCTCATTTCCTGGAAGCAATGCGAGCACGAATCAAATCTCATGCGCCGAGGTAGAGCTTGCGATTATGGCAGGTAGCATCTCAGGCAATGAATTGTGTGAGGCCGTTCAGAAGGAGGCTCTTGGTCCATGCTGTGGGGTTGCTGCGGATGAAGACGAAACCAGTATCGAATCCGTCAATGAAAGTGAACCTCAATCACCGCCATTGGTTAGCATGGATGGAGCGGAGTCCGACCACTGTACCCTCTGCGGGGATGGCAAGTTTCACACAGAGGTCGGCAATAGTGTGAGTGTTCCAACACAGGGCATCTTTACTTGCCAGCAACTCTTGGACATGGGCAAGAACGGAACCCTAGACAACAAAGGGATCTGCCTCTTGGTACAAACTTTGGCTCAAACTCCCTGCGGTTGCAAGGCTGATGGGATCATAACAGTTCCGACGGAAGCTCCCGAGGCTTCCGAGGAAGAAGCCACTTCTTCGTCTTCCCCGCTCTACTCTGGAACACCTGCCCTGTTTGTCTCCGCAGCGGCCACGGCGTTTCTTGTRGCGTTGTCTTCGTGGAATTTTTTGTAACAAGCGARCAAGGCTTTTCTTCGCCGTTTGAGATTYTCTTGTCGAAAACACTCCGTACCGTGGAAATCTCGCCGGCGTTGTCCGCCCGGTCGTCTCCTGATGACTGCATACTCTAGGGCTAAATTTAACTGTGAGTGCCGTGTGAGCGTTAAGAGGAAAGACTTCCGGGATTCAATCGGTTTCGTCGCTTCTCGCCTAGTTCACATGTCTATTCCGCGACGGACTATCGCAGTCAATAAGCCACCATTCCGCAAACGAGCAGTGTCGACTCTCTCTCACATAGAGGTGGCTCCTGTGTGATAATTTTGTATGGATCGAACAGAGTTGGCTCTCTCTTCCATTAGAATTGCACAAACAAGGGATTGATGGGAGTATGTGCGATATGGAATGGTGCACGAAGACCTTAGAACTATTACCGTATACTACTAGATGATTATTGTTTTGCTTTTTCTTTATTCATAATTTACTCTAATAATTTAGTAATTTTGTTCATTGCATATCGACCATTCAAACCAAAACAACATGAACATTACCAACCACCATGGTGATCCGATCGTTGCCCTCGTCGAACATAACGACAACGACGATGGTCTCGATCGTAGATGCCAGCGCTAGGTCGGCGATGGCACCGGACGAATGCTTCGATTGGATCCTTGCGTGGGCAGGTCGGCGCTCCGCCGTTTCTTTCCCGCGTCGCTTTGCGCGTGAGTCGTCGAAGGGTCGTTGTTTGCACGGATTCCTCGTTCTTAGGTTCCCGCCGAATCGATCCGGCCGCCGGGCAAATCGAACCGCGATCGAAGCGCGTTTGTTTCCCGCCACTCACCGATGCTCCACTTTCCGTCGCTCCACTTTGCTGGTTGATTGTTGTTTTTTTTGGGTTGTTGTTGCTTTTTTAGGTTCCCTCGGCTACTGCCTCGGTGCCCAGAGAGAGAATGTATGTCAGGACAAGATGATCATGTGTACCCACAGGCTATTCGACACTGTTCCGGCGGGCGGAGGGGTCGGCCCTGTGCTAGGCACGGCTACCGCTACCCCTACCTTACCCTTATTAACCAGATATGATAATMTCCATGCATCTGTCTTCTCACGCTTTTGCGTGTGACTAACCAGCCCGCCAAGTTGAAGCCCCATTGCTATAGGATTGTCAGGTTTCCATCTGCTGAATCGCTCATCAGATTTTACCCTAGCGTCCCCCTCTGTGGTAGGCTACTTCCTATGCAATGGTCTACGGCCCTTGGTGGTTTACACTGGCGTTTACATTCTCCCTTACCTTCAGAGTGCGGAACCACACCGCGCGCCTCCCGGCGGTGTGGTCCAGATCACGATTAACATGCTTTGTCAGGGCCTTGTTTAAGGCGGGCACTCGTTTTTTAGAGTCGGATTGGCCATGGTCTTCCGCCTGGCAGGGGGCTAGCGGCAACAAGGGCTAGCTCTTTCCAGTTCAACGGTCATGGGTTCCCAATCCTTATCCCGCCCCTCAGGGTTCCACTTACGACTATCCTGTCTTCCAGCTAAGGATCATGGTGAATGGGAGGGGTGTTACACGTTGAGAGACTTCCATGCCGCATGCATGGTCATCTCCCCCAAGCGTCCTGGTCTTTGCCAGGCTACTTCCCTTACCCAAACACTACCCGCTGGTTGATTCAGGCATTTACACTGAGGTGATCATCCTCTGAATGCGATTGTGAGAAGAGAGAAATGAAAAGCAAAGTGGGTCGAAATGGGTCGAAATGAGCAAAAAGTGAATTTTCTGATCGCCTTTGCGGATTTCTTCTCGTAGAGCATGGTACAAATTGAACAGGAGACAAGGATCTCAATGCATCCGCTTCCGTAGCGTCGGTAGAGAACTTACACAGAAAAGTTGTTTACTGCGGGGAATGGTTTTATCGATCGCTAACCAGTTCCGATACGGAAACCAGTTGCGTAGAGTTGGTACAAAAACTACGACGAAAAATGGTTTTAAAACCATTTCCGGTCGTGCAAAAATGAAAACCAGAAACGCWCGAGACGTTTCTGAGGAGTTGGTTTRAATTCCAAGACTTTCGAAGAGGGCGGATCCGAAACCATTGCGGACGTGCTCCGACGAATGCATTTTGTGCGATTGGAATTTTGTTTGCCAGGGGGAAATCTTTGCGTTTTGATTTCGGAACCGCTTGATGCATGAAAAAAAACGCAGCAAGAGGCTTGCACGCAAAAAGCGAACGATCCCGTTGTGGTCGCAGGTGGATGCGACAATTAGGCGTTTGCGCAGATGTTTGCGCAGGTTGATGTTCTTTGTTGTGTTCTTTGTGACGCATACGGACATCAGAGATTGTTGTTGTTCCCAAAAGGGCGGGCCGGCTCGATGCTCTTAGATCCTTTTAGCGGGTTTCTGAGGAGCATGCGTACGTACGACGTACGGACTCTGATGCTTTTTCACGTAAATCTTTGTTTCAAAATGAGATGGATGTGTGTTGATGTGAACCGTGACTGTCCAAAAGCAGCCGCTTCATCCTAGTTGTTTCGATTCCATGAAAGATAGGCATATTGGTGGTTCCTAGGTTCCCTAGTCAACCGAAGCGATTGAGGAAGATACAAGTCATGGATGTTGCCAACCGAGGAATCATTTTGTCTGATTGGTTCGATCTCGAAGAAGCTCCTAGAAGGGCATGCGGGCAAACGATCGGTCGTGTCTTGAAAAAAAAACATGGGGTCAATTTGATCTCTGTAAGGGTGCCGAATGTTGATGGATCATTTGGATTGCATTRCAATTCATCGGATTGATGCATTGAATTGCAATCCAATCGATCCATTTGCGGTTCCTTCCTCGCTTTTCGTATGCCGGGACAGACAAGAAGGAACAACGGAAGGCGATGGGCAAATCACCGTGTCGAGTCTGCTGCTGAGAGGATTGATGAACATTCCGTCGATTCAATCGTTTACGCACTGCCAAAGATTTCTGGATTGTGCATGTAATTGGGTGGAAATCAAAAAGTCTGTGTTGTGGTTATTCGTATTACTTTAGTTCTATGGCACATCTATGTATGAGTTTTGCACGAAACTACATGCAAATTGTTTCCTTTCTCTTTTGCTCCACGATGGGGCAGATGGGTCCGGATTCTGTTTGCTCACTCTCTCTCGCCGGCCTTCTTTTTTCTCAGGAAATAATAGGCAAATCCACGGGGAACGATGCAGCAAACCAGTAGGCAGGCAACGTTGGCGGCTAGAGAGAGTGTCACTCCATATTGTCCGAAGATAACTTCGGGATCGATGGATCCGATGGCATTACCGGGGGTGCACACCGGGCTCATTGCCCCGGTGCCGTCGCAAGGGATTGGGYTTCGGAAGATCAGTTTGAGGGCTGCGTTGGAGGCGTACGAAAAGGGCGAGAGGTACTTTACCCAAGACAGCCAGGGGGGTATGTTCTGCGCCATGAAACCACCCAGCAGCATGAGAAAGAGGACTCCAACGGTGGCGACCGCTTGCCCGACCTTGATGTCGTCGAAGGCTGCTCCCACGAGTTGGCCCATCCCCTGCCCGGTGATCACGCTGAGCAGCGCAATGGACAGGATGCCCAGGAAGGTGACAAAGCCGAGCGATGGGACGGCCATCCAGTAGCTGATCACCAGGAAGGTGAACGGCATGAACAAAAAGAGGGGGAGGTCGGCGATTGTCGTTGCGGCAAAGTAGGCGCTGAGCCGGTAGGACGCGGTTGCTCGTTCCTTGAGGACGATGGTGCGTTCCTGCGGAAAGGCAAAAAGGGCCTCGAACATGCCGTTCATGACCCAGTATAGCATGGTAAAGAAGAAGTACGCGTAGATGTTGAAGACGTCCTTTTCCGTGTAAGACTGGTTCCAGTAGACGATGCCGACGGCAACCCCCGTTGCTATAGTTTTGAGAATGTGGATCGGACTGAACAAGGTAGACTTGTTCTTTGCGAGGGCCCGGTGGGTGAGGGTGACGAACTGGGTCGACCAAGACGTTGTATATTTGCTGCCTGCACTTATTCTTCTTTCTCCCGTGGCCTTGTTGAGTGCGGAAGCATCGCCCTCATTGGTGCCACCCTGGGGATGGAGTATCGAGGTAAGGTTCATTTGCTCGGCCACCGCATCGTTGTCCCAAGCCAGCTGGAGGTAAAACCTCGGAGACCTTCCGGTGGAGTTGGAGTTGTCCCTATCGCATCCGTTGCCATTGTTCCCTCCTTTGCGAACGAAACTATCGCTGACGAGTAGATCCATCCAATGATCAGCGGCATTGTATCCTTCCGGGCACGCAAGGTGGTGGCGCCTCAGGTAGCCGAGCGAATCGGTTGGAGTTCCAAAGTACACGGCATTTCCATCGGAAAGCACCATTAGTTTGTCAAAAGTGTTGAGAAAGGTCGCCGAGTTTGGCTGGTGGATGCTGGTCAAGATGGTCTTGCCCTGTTTCCGCGCTAGATCACTGAGTATCCCAAGGAGGCTAACGGCCGACGCCGAATCGAGCCCGCTGGTGGGCTCGTCTAGCAAGATTATCGCAGGGTCGGTGAGGAGCTCGGTTCCGATGTTGACCCGTTTTTTTTCGCCCCCGGAGCACATTCCAATGGGGCTATCGGCGATGTTGGTGAGCTTGAGTTGTTCCAGAATCCGTTCGACTTTTTTCTGGATGGTCTTGGTTCGTTCCTCCCACGCGAGGTTTTCCGGAAACCGAAGCCGAGCCGTGTAGGTCAGCTGTTCCCGGACGGTAAGCGTTTCGAAAAAGACATCCTGCTGCTTGACGTAGGCCACCCTCGGCAGGAGCTCTTTTTTCATTGCCGCCTTGTCGAGGATCATTCCGTTCAGGGTGACGGCCCCCTCCTGRAAGGCCGCTCGGCCGCTGAGCACGTTCATGAGGCTCGTCTTTCCGGATCCGGAGGGGCCCATCAGTGCTAGGATTTCCCCCGGGCGAGCCTCCCCGCTCACGTTGTTCAGGATTACCCTGGKGKTGGTTTTGGAAAGAGAKTTGCTGTCCTTCCGGTGCCGGTTCGGTGTCACCCTGCTGATCCTGCTGCTTCTCAGTATCGCGCTGGCCCTGTCCTCGGGTTTCGTGTCGACCTTTTTCGTGATGTTTTTCCATCGGAGATGGAGTGCCGGAGGCTGTAGAGCATCACCRTGGTTTTCGCCATTGCCCATGTCGATCCCGATGTCGATGTCGACGAAGGGGGTGGGGCTGCTATTTTGTGGAAGATGYTGGTGTTGTTTTTGTTCGCTGCCAATGGTAGTTGCCATTTTGTTGATGCAAAGGATTTTGGGTATGCTTGCTTTGGTAGTTGTTGTTTGCCTTGGAGATTTTTGTTTTTGTGAGCTTATCGCTGGTGCTTTCGATTTTGGTTCTCTCGTGTCTACAAGTAGATGAATGCSACAATCGTTCAGCATCACGACTAGTTTGGAAAGGTGACCTCGGCGATCGGCATGAAGTCGTTGCTTGTTTGTGAACGACCGGCGAATTGGTTTCAGTCAGTCTGCTAGTTTAATAATTAATATGGTCGTTTATTGAGCGGCGGGAATGAATCGATGTTCAAACGAGTGACCAGTTGCCACCGTGGCAGTAGGTTATGTTGACGTTTCGTGGGATTCCGATTCTATTTTCCAATTTCTAAGGTGAAAATGGAACAAKCTGGAACATGCTTCCGATTCAAAAGCGTGAAAAATTTGAAACAAAGTGTGACTTTGGGTGGAAGGCAATTATGCAAAATGTTGCTGGTCGTACTTCTAGTTATTACAACTACGTACTCGCACTTGCAAACAATCCGCGATCGTTGGCTATATTAGGCCCAGTCAATTATCTCAATAAACTGAACTTTAATTATTGATTATTATGACTGCTATGGTAGTAAACGTRMGTTACCGTTGATCCATAATAATCTGACAACCTTACGGTACGTACTTATGACCCGTTGGGGTAAGTACGAAGTAACTCTTACTATTCCGTAGCAAATATACTGTATCGTAAGATTAGTCAAGTTCTGCTTTTTGYCATGTCAACGGTAAGGCGGCTACGTACGGTAGAAGTACGAGTAGTATCCTAAGAATGATCCCGCGCGGACGAAAACGTCATAAATCAACTTTAAAATAACCCCCTCGCCAGAGCGCCTCGCCAGAGGGGGTACGGTAGGAGGGGAACAACCTACGTTCGGTACGGTATGGTACTTTACTGGATAATCAAAGCAGTTGTAGTTCGTACAGTACGGTAGTAGAAGAGTCATTCGACAATATATGCTAGAGTCAAAATGCGTTATTTCAACCGTTATGGCGCGCCGAGTAGTCATAAGAAACTTCGTCCCAGACGTGTCAGAGAGGGTGACTAGACGAGAGCACGTTTGTGTTGGTAAATACGTATGTACGCTACGCMCGGTACAAAATCGAGAAATACATACGGCACGGTAGGAATGTACAGTAATGTACAGTACAAAATCATTTGAAGATACARTAGTATTCGTAGTACGTAATGTCCAAACTCTCACCAAGGTGCTCGATGTATCGTGCACCTCCCGTGCCGGAGAAAACCTCATCCGTTAGAATGAAATATCCGTGCTCCACAAAATTGTTATTCTAACGGATAATCACACCAGTTAACAACAAATACGATGTCAGGAAAGCATGTGTACCTTGAAATGCTACGGACAATAATCAAGTCACGTTCTATTGGAAGGCAATATGAGAACGGATAGCACCCCGCATACCAAAAACCACAATACCTTCTGTCAGTCACGCTGCCTTTTCACGTAATCACAACTTTTTCCTYACATAGCTTTCAAGGCATTTTGCAAAGGCACTCAAACATACAMATCACAACACAAAAGAAAGATAACCTTGTCRAGAAACTGTTTTATCATGACGAGCATCAAAAACACTTTCCCGGCGTTCCTTCTCGCTTTGCTTCTATCATCGGGTGCTGAGGCGAGAAAAAAACCAGAACCAACAATTTTTGGCCTCGACTCCTGCACTAACGATGCTTCCAATGGAAACACGTTCCGAACTTGTAAGTGGAGAGAAACAAAGCTTCCGTCACGGAKAACAAATTAAATACAGTCCTTATCATTGGTTCATTACCGTGCTTACCGTACACGTCGCTATCTTTCCATTTTCATTTCCCTATGCTATTTTGGAATCAACAGACAGGCTTTTGTGCGACGACGGCGCGACCTTTTCCAAGTTTTGTGACCTCCTCAATTCCGGTCCATTTGTTGTAGATGGAGGCGCTCCTATCGATATCAAAGCATACATCAACACGGGACTCAACTTGCACACGATTTTTGCTCCAACGGACTCTGCCTTCGATAGCAATCCTCTTTATAGCATGCTCGTGGAACTTAGAAACACAGGTACACCAGAAGCTCTGGCTCTTTACAACAAGTTTGTCGCCCAAATCCTGCAGCTTCATATCTTGCCGAGCACTTTTCTGATGGAGGATTTGGAGTGCGACGGTATATACGATACCTTGAACCTTTCGGCTTTGGCACAGGACCAGCAATACCAGAAAACCAAATGCAGAAACGCCGTTACCAACCCGACGCAAATCGGAGGCGGCAACACGATGGAGGCCGAGCAACCAGTCATCGGACAACCAATTAATGTGTTCTCTGCTTCCCAATTTCCACTAGAAGCTACGGGTGGTCTCTTTGCGAGGAGGCAGACCGTAAAAGGAGAGTTTTCTACTAACGTCGTCGGTTGTAACGGTGTAATCCACACGGTTGACAATATTCTCATTCCTGGCGACATTATGGTTGACGGGAAAAGTAGCAAGAGCGGAAAGGCCGGAAAGTCTGCCAAGAAGGACAAAAAGAAGAAACAACCATACCCACCACCACCTCCAGGGGGTGAAGAGGTAGTAGTAGTAGTAGAAGAAGCGGAAGTTGAATTAGACTTTACAGATATGGTCGCAGAAGCAGCATACGCGGAACCTGAAGAACCTTTAGTGGAAGAAGCAGTAGTGGAAGAAGCAGCAGTTGAAGCTGAAACAGATCCAGAAGGACGCAAACTCAAGGTAGATTCTCGCAGAGAAGATTTGGAACGACGCCGCCGCCGCCTCGAGGCCCTGTTGGAGCCGGATGGAAAAGTCGTCGAACAATTGAACTAATCTCATTTGACCACAACGACCGGTCCCAAGAGTGATATTTGTTTTCGTGAATAATATTCACTGAGTTCTATCGGTATATGCATATGTGTAAAATAGAAAAGAAAATAGCTTCTTAGTCTCCCTGTCTATGATCATTGTTGTATGACTTCGCAACTGCTACTAGTAGTATCTGTGTCGTTATGACGAAGAGAGGTAACAAAAACTTCATGGGTTTGTATGGTTCGCGTTGATATTTGAAGCTTGCCATCGTGTTGAAACAAGCTTGGAAACAACACATTTATTCATGAAAAGTAGTAAATTTTATGAACAAGAACAAGTGTTTGATACCTGTCGAACGTCAAATCAACAACGACATCTTTTTTGATGATTGAAAGTAGTAGACATTCATATATTAAAAGTACAAATTGTATCACAGGAGCTACCGAGACCAGTGCCCAAGAGACAAGGGAGGTAGATGTTCTTACCGCAGACTATAATAGCTCCGCTTTTCCTTTCAAGGTTGCTTGGGACTTTAGCATCTTCGTGAATTCAAAGGATTCTGAATCCTTGCTATCACTAACGTCAAGGGCACATAAGGGTCGCATGCTAGAAAATTTCATGTCGTCTACCATGGTAAATTACCTGTGTACGATCGCTCTACAACTATGTTTTAGTTCTATTACAGTATACTGTCATAATAATACCATTTTTAATTGATGACCTGTCAGCGTCTCTTAAATAATTCCTCGATGAGAAAGCGAGTTTGCAACTGGTCATACAAAAAGAATTCTGGTCGTGCACGATTTCAATTTTGCAAACCCGAAATTGTGARTAAGTCCAAAACGTTTTTTCTTTGGTCACATCTACCGTATTTGCCTGGTACCAACTACGAACCAGTCTTCGAAACTTCCTACGTGTGCAYGAGTAACGGTCGGTACGTACGRCTTTGATCATGACTTAAAAGCAACAATCCCCAAATCAAGGGTCATAAATTTATGACCCCTGCCCAAAATCACAAATCATCCTCTTCTCTCTTTTATTTCAAAACTAAGTAACATTGTATTAGTGTGCAGATGACACAAATCGAAAGCAGATTATTTCCCAAACGCACTCACTATACTACTAGTAGCTTCTAGTAATAAGCTACAAGCAACAAGCAACAAGCAACAAGCAACAAGCAACAAAATATCTATCCAAATTGACATCCATCCATATCTACAAAAGCATATAACAATAAAGACAACATGGCACCGCTGAACGGGCAGCAAGAAGAGCATCGCAACGACGGTTCGAATTCCATTCACTTTGCGTCATTTGACCCTTTGATCGGTACCGAAATCGAAACCGAAAGTGATGGATACAGCGGGAAAAAGGAACACGACATCAGCAACTGGGAGTACCTCCAGGAACAGTTCCCTGAGGTTGGCTTTGGTCTGCAGCCTTACGCGGTGTACAATGGTGATAGTTCCGGTTTGTTCGTTCCTTCCAGGCCAAGCTACAGCACCAGTGACAGCACC